TAAATGTGATTATTACGTATTTTACATTACAAGAAAGAAAGCAAGAAATAAGACAGTTACATTGCTGTGAAGTAAAAAAAACATCACATCTAAAAATGGCTGCGCTTAGCTCATTGCGGGGAACAACGGCTTTGAGTCTACGACACTAGGTGCTGGTTTTTAAAACCAGGTTATTGTACTTAGTTAGAGTTTCAATAACATATATCGACCCTTCACATAAAATTTGTAGATCAATTAATGAATTGAAAAAATACTATAACTGAATCAAGTCAACGTCGAAAACAACGTCAACGTCTAGCTCTGAAGCAGGTGTGACCAGAGGGCTCGAGGCAAACGAACCTCGAACTCGAGGTTTTTTTCCTAAAAGGTTAACCAAAAGGACCTCTTTAAGATTTCCCTCTGAAACAATAACGAATAAAACGTTCGTGATCTAATTTCCGGATCACTGGCGTGAAGCCAAATAAAATATCATTAAAATCAAAAGTTTTGAACTAAAATTGTATGTATAATAATAAATAAAAGGTTCGTAACATAAACCCTTAGACCAAATTGGGCAATTGGCTTAAATCGTATATAAATACAGTTTATTTTTTTAAGGGAAGACAATCATCAAATGGCTTCTGTCTCCCGGGGTGCGGTGAGAAGGAGTATCAGTCTCTTACTGACTAGAAATCACCCTGTCCCTTCTCCTGCTCTAGGCCGAGCCCGCGGTACCTTAATGCGTTTGCTCCGCAGCCCCGGCCGAATATATGGTATGGTAGAAATTTGAAGAAATAAGTAGTAGTACTATTACTAATATTATAAACGCAAACGTTTGTAACTATGAATGTATGTTTATTACTTTTCCACGTAAAAACTACTCAACGAATTTACGTACAAACTACTTTCTACCCTGTTACTTCAGGCAAATCTGCAGGCAGAAGCTAGTACAGAAATAATTTTGATGTAGCCTACGATGATCCTCCATGCGTAAAATCCCGTCCTGTAATCTGAATTGGTCATACAAAACATTATAGATACTGGCCACAAAATCCTCTACCAAAAAAATGATATCAACACTCCTTTTTCGGGCAGTCATGTAAAAGGAATAAGTGTTTCGCTAAACGACTTTAACTACTAAATATAAATTGAACCAGTAAATCTAATCTTCGATATTATGCAATTACTTACGCAATGGATTCGGTTTTTTTCTTCATTCCGTGCGTAATAGTTATAACGGTAGAAGCCGTTATTGTTGGAAAACTAGGTTTTGGCTTTGCATGTTACGCGAGAATTTATAATTTTTTGCTTGAGTTGTTCTTTTTCGAAGTTACGTCGATTTCTTAAATCAATCGTTTAGGTGACCTCTAACAATTGAAAATTTTAATTTTCCCATAGTTGGCACGACGGATTACCAAATTTGAACTGCTGCACGTCAAATTTATGTCGAGCAATATTTCTGGACGAACCGATTATCGTTGCGGTAGAGTTCCGGAGCGGATTCCGAAATCTTCTCTAGCTAAATACATATATAGTCTAGCTCAAACCACCAGTAATGAATACCGCAAAAATACCAAAGATGAAGTCAAGTTAAAAAATCACTTAAGTTGATTTTTATGTGATAGTTCGGCTAACATGCATACGGATTACCTGATAGTTAACAATCAACGTCACCCATGGAGACCCGCAACAACAGAGGAGTTACGAATGCGTTACCGACCTTTTGGAGATTAGGGTTTTGGGAATTGAAGGATTGGGGGAGAGGAAGGATTGGGCCTCCGATAACCTCACTCACACGGTGAAACACAACGCTGTGATTGTTTCACGCACTCAAGTTTTTATTTTTTGGTACCTAGGACTGTTTTCTTTAACGCAAGTGCGGTTACAAATGCACAAGGCCCAGAAATATCAATTTGTGAATCAATCAACATTTTAAATAAACCTGTTAGAAAGTAACATATTTATTTTAGGAACATAAATATTTCATAAATGTTTTACGGAAAAAAATATTTCACAAGGCAATATGTTAACTCTCTACAACTATATGGTGTTTCAGATATACGCAGACAAATGTATTTTTTTCATCAGGCGCTAATCTAAGCTCATAAGATCGTTTTCCATTAGCTCGATGAAGAAGTACTTATGTACAAAAACTTTTTTTTCTCATTCTTACCGGCAGTCACAAACCATTTTTAATGTGATATTTTTTTTAATTGTTGAGGCATAAAAATTATCTATAGTCAGTTTATAGCAGTCGTAATATTCATTATCTTTACTGCGTAAACGGACAACCATTTAACTAAATAAATATCAACATTTTATTGCTTTTTCTCATTCTAATTGAGCCACTGAGAGCTATTTGCACATTTAGCTGTAAAATGCTTTTTATATCCTTATAATTCATATACATTTGATGTCAGTTACAACCAAGTCATTTCAGTAATTATTTTAATTACTCTGCGCTTGTTCTGTATGAAATATGAGTACAATACTCCGCACAATAATATTTTATAATACGTTTTAGTTTTAGTTGCTATATTTTTCAATGTTATAAGTGTAGGACGGCGATGCCACGAATGGGCCGGCTCGATCGAAGTGATACCTCGGCCCCACAGAAAACTGACGAGAACAATCCAAACAATAGTTTCCTTCCTATTCCGCAAATTAGGGAATTGAATACTCCAATCCCTAACAATCCCGTAAACCACAAAACACTTATAACTCCTCTGGTGATGCGAATGTCCATGGGTTTTTTTTGGTCAGGGGAATATCATCAAATTTCTTCTCCCGTCCAGGCCCTTGCAGTAGGGAGTGTCAGACTCTTACTGACTAAAAACCCCCCTGTTCCTTCTCCTGCTCTGTGCCGAGGTCGCGGTGCCTCATTGCGCTTACCCCGCAACCCCGGCTAAATGTCCATGGGTGAGTTGTCTATTGTTTACCCGAAAACTAAGTACCATAATCACCATATTTCCGAATTTCATTTGCCCGAATGTTTTGTCCCTAAGAGACATATGACATAGTTACATTTTATTGCCCGAAACTTAGATACCATAAAATAAGAGCGTAGGCTCTTCTATTGCCTTAATAAGACATAACATTAAAAAGCCACAATAAGTATTCGACATAATATTTATTGAATGGTGTTGGGCTTGGTGGACGGAACTCCGCTCCGTGGGGCTCATACTCTTGTAAGGTTTATGAAAACCACGTAGGGGATGGGGACTTAACTAGACCGGAGCAAATGGCATTAAAAATAACTACACGTACTGTATATTAAAAAAAATTGAAATCTTCAATACGTCTTAAGCAAGTTTAATATTAATGTTTGAAAACTTTCTCATAGACTGAAGAGATGGCGAAACTGTAGGGTCTGCACCGAAACAATAGCTCGATGCGACGTATGGACTTGAACAAACTTAATCGTAGATGAACAATGAATTTTATTAAAATATACGTCCATGTTTTGTATTATCAGAGTAATAGGGTTTAGTTTTGACCCTCATTCTTGTTCTCATAACTATATTGGTTTAAATGAATAATAAAATGAGTCATTTTCCCAGAGGATTATGAGTAAAACAAATACCTAGCTCTATTCTTCATTCCTTCCTCATCGATGCCCCAGATGAATTGTTATCTAGTTATAAGTACAAATCTACACAAGACAAAAAGGAATGATGTTTATAAAAATATGGTTGCACAGAAAAGAAGACGGTATCTTAAACATCCTAGATTATAATTTAGCATGAGATAGTTGTCATAATACTATAAGTATGTTGAGCCCTTAATCTATGTTTACTCATAATTATGATAGTTCAATATTGATTATTGACGATTTAATGAAAGTTAGAATAGGTCACAAGTTTTTTTATGTTTTAAGACGCATTACCTGATAGTAAGCAATTAACACCGCCCATGGCGTAACTATGGAGGTGGTACGGCCTTTTGGAGATTAAAATTTTGGAGATTGAGGGATGGGTAAAGATTCGACCTCTTGTAATCTCGATCACACGGCGATACACAACGCTGTGGTTGTTTCACGTCGGTTTTTCTGTGCCATGTTCATGGCCCATACGTATCGGAACATATCTCTCCCACACTTAAAAGCGTAGGTACTCTATAAACATATACACAGAGCATATTTTTCTACAGTTTTTATTTGTACTTCCCTTCCAATACTGAAATAGAAATCTCCACAATGATTTATGTGTTGTCTATTTCTGCTTCTCGTTATGGCTGTGCATCTATCTGGAGAACATTTTTAATCTCAGTACTGTGGCCACACTGGCCACTTGTAGATATACTGCAACACTAATTAAGCTCTTGAAGGGCATCCGGCGCATGCGCACCGAGCAATCAACCGGTCGTTGATTCCTCAGCTTCTTTGTGAACGATTTATCTTCGCCATTTTGTTTTATTACCTTTTTAAAAGACGAACGCCTAATTAAATCGATTGTTTTGATTCGATTCGTTGAAATCGCGTGAACCGTGTTCTTAGAATACCGAGATTATCGGGCTGAGCTCTGGAGAACTCACGAATTATACTCAGCGTTTTATATGTCTAAATTGATCCTAATTAATTATTTCAAAACTGTTATACCCACATTAACTCGTTTCTACACGTGTAAGTCTGAGCGTTAGTAATTATAACGCGACTTAATTCAGCATCTCGTTTCATTACTCCAACGCGAAATTAGAGTAATTAATACTTCATTCTAATTTAAAAATAGTCATAAACAGTTCGGACTTTAAGATCCTCCGTATGAACAATAACATAAACCATAGTTATCTAATATAAGCGCTATTCAGAATAATTTAAGGCTGAATGTTGCGTGCAATATTTATTCAACAGAACATTCAATTAGATGCACGTGCAATTAAGCAGTAACTGTTTACAATTCACGAAACAATCGTAGACTTAATGACGACGATCGCATAGCAAGCCACGTACTCCAGGAAGACTGTGTACATTTTTTTAATTAGGAAACCGGCTCGGTAAAAGCAGCCTTCCGTCATCGGCGTACAGACAGGAAAGCATCATCGATGTGTATTAATGAAGCCGAGGCACGGATCGACCGGGTCTGCGCGCGCGCCAGCCAGTGTTACCGCGCATTTCAAACGATACACTCGCGAACTGCAAATGTATTTTCCAAAAACTCCTCAGGTCGATGACACAAGTTCGGAAGGACTCGAAATGTTACGGTTTTAATCGATTCTCGTACAGATGATCGATTTGCTGAGGTGGATATCGATTCTGCAGTGTTTTGTTTTGTTTTAGCGTGGGTGATTGGATGGGAACTGTCGGTCAATTGATTTACTTTTACTTTATGTTAAACAGTTGGTGCATTGTTATTGTATCATTTTGCTAGTGTAGGAATGGATATTGATATAAAATGGGTCTGCCTCAGAATTAAAACATTTGCTGCAGTTATATTGTGGTTTGTTGGTGTGCTTTCGGAGATTTAAATTGTTATTAATGGTATATTAGTGTGTTAATAATAATATTTATAATAAGATAAGATAATTTATAATAAGATAAGATGACACAAGGGTGTAATTTTCAATGTTAAACGCAATAATTTTGATTTAAATAGTACATTATTATATCTGCGTACCGGGTAACTGTTTAGAATGTGCGTGCTCTTATCTCCTAAAACTTATTTCAATTTGATAATTATTCTTGTAAACAAAGACCGTTATTGTGCAGCAAATGTATTTTTTTTTCAAAGTTCAAAGGATATCTTAACATTTGGTAGACGTCAGCTATCGTAAACAATACACCCATTCTAATGAAAAAGTCAAATTACAATTACGATCTAATCCAAAATTGGGCGGTGCGAAGTAATTTCAAAGTAATATTTTAGACCGAAAAAAAAATGAGGCTATAAAGCAGGTTTCATTAAAATGTGGCATATTCTAAAAACAATGATCCAACTGTTTGAAAGATAGGTACTAGAAATCAAACTATCTCTTTATTTTTCCCTTTGGACCTTGCAAAACAAAACACAAAATGAACATTCTCTAGCCTTTGAAGCATAGACCAGTAAAGGTAATAAAAGACGTGCATTTTGCAGATGTTAAACGTATATTAAAAGAAGTATATATGTCTATAGATAAAATAAAAACAATCAAAATGTATACGAAAGTGTTAGTGATGTTAATGGCAGTATCGCTGATGCCGATGGTCCTCTCAAGATCGAGAAGATACTCCAAGACGCAGGCAAACTCATTGTACAAGATCAGATGTGACCTCAAGTGTATCGATTTAAATAAAGAGGATAAACCTGTTGTAAGTACATCGATTTAAGTACATAACTTAAATACTTTTTTTATATGTAATAGGTCGGCAAACGAGCAGACGGATTACCTGATGGTAAGCAATCAGCACCGCCCATGGACACCCGTAACGGAGGAGTTACGAGTGCGTTGCCGACATTTTAGGGATTAGGGATTTGGAGAATGAAGGATTGAGGAGGGATTGGGGGTGGGGAAAGATTGAGCCTCCGGTAACCTCACTCACACGGCGAAACACAACACTGCGGTTGTTTCACGCCGGTTTTCTGTGAGGCCGTGGTATCACTCCGGTCGAGCCGACCCATTCGTGCCGAAGCATGGCTCTCCCAGACTTAAATTTTTATTCACCATCTTCATACCTCTGTTGCTTTTTATAAGTTCCATGACAATAGAGAAAATCGCCGTATAAGTACTATAATAATGAAGCAGGTGAAAAGTTCTGATCAACGGTGTCAATTACAATTAAAATTTCACTTGTCTTATGGAATGCAAACAAATTATCTATACTTCTATACGAATATTATAAAGAGGCAAAATTTGTAAGTTTGTTAGTTTGTAAGTTTGTACGCTGGTCGGATTGCCAAAATTCTTTCACTTATAGACTATGTTCTTAAGTGCTATAGGGTATAAAACATCACGCTACGATCAAATGGAGCCGAGCAGGTAGTGAGAAATAATTATGAGGTTAAACCGAACAGTGAATAGGATTCAGTTCTTAAAATTAGATATTTGCAGCCATATCTCTATCCTCTTCACATACATAAAATTAATAACAGCATAGTAACTATCCCAGAACTAATTCAATCTTGTTCAAGTTGTAATTCGGCATATATCTAAAGGAACTTAATCTCAAAATACATACACAATCTAGGATATCCGCAAAGAGTCATGTACGAATTAGGGGAAATCCAGATTATATCAAAATAACAAAGGCTGAAGTACCCGAAAATGTCATAGGTAAACCAACGAAGTTCAATGAGCCCAATCATGAAAGAATTATTGAGATTCGATTGCATGCTCAACTAGATCCACAAAAAATACGCTACGCGCAGAACACAGAACACTTTACGCTAGATCTAAATAAAAAATGTTTACCAAGATAGCTGTCACTGCGATCACGACTTAACAAGTTCTCAGAACAGACATAAAGACAATACAAAAAAATTTAAAGGAACGTAAAATGAAATACAATCAAGATTGCAACGTATAGTTAGCAAGAATAATTCTGCGGCTACAGAATAAGTTACATAACCTGTGCACAACAGGATCAAACCTAAAAGGGCGCATTGTGCTAATTCAAGAACCGCAAAAAGAAATTATACGGGATTGTGTCATGAGAAAAAATTGTGTCCGAGGACTTGTAGTGACACAACACAATCGCATTTTGATCACGATATACGTCGAGAGTTAACGAGCTTCGATCCTTAGCTAGATTTTTTCATCTTGGCTCAAAGCTCAGGCATTTCTAATTCGCTTCTTGTATGTTTACGATATGTCGTAAAAGTAAAAATAAAGCTCGAGATCGAGAACTTTTGATTACATTCATACGTTGAATTATTAAAAATGTACACGAAACATAAGATAAAATGAAACATAAAACCCAAAATACTAACATAACTATTCCATTTAACGACTGATCCAGACCTTTCCAATTTAGTTTCCATCTGAGATTCGTCAGAGTAAATTGAACCAAATAAACAGTAGTGTGAAAAATCTGCATACCCATAGAAATTAACATCCCAGTCGTGAATCACTGCACTTCAAAGGAATACTTAGTTTGTAACTATTGTGTACATGTACACGCTAATGGTCTAAAGTTACTAATGAGTCTGAAGTAACAGAACTTGTCTAAATGAATGCCCCTATTCACAACATGGCGAGACCTGTGTCTACATTACAAGCAAATATTATAATGATTCCAGACAGGGCAGAAAAAACTGAACAAATGCTCCTTCTTGTCAAACAATGCTGTCTGGTCGAGGAGTAATTTAAGAATACACTGCAAGTAATCTATGAAAGTCGTTATAAGACTGGTTACTACCCGCCTAATATATCGATCTGTCTTCGAATTGGGATTAGTCATGTACCATTAGATGCAGATTTTCAAGTTGCACTTGAAATTGTCAAAAGTTTTGTAAATTACAACTTCTTTTTCATGTCTTGTAATACAATAGTCCGCTTAAGACTAAAGAGAAAATCTATTTTACAGTGCAAAGCACACTGCCGTTTGAACGAGAAGAAACCGGGGACGTGTCCAATATCTGACACGCCGAAGTGGGAGGCTGCTTGTGTGGAAGCATGCAACGCCGACTCACAGTGTGATGGCACGCAAAGATGCTGCCGCCATTCCTGTGGGTCTACTTGCAGCGAACCCACCGACCTTTTAACTGTACCAGGTAAATATTATTCGCTGATGTTAATTTGTAATTGGTAAATGAGAGGGCCGTAGATGGCTTCTGTATCTTACTCTTACTTATAGGTCTTCATGGTCATATTCTTAATAAAAAATATTGCGCCCAAAACGTACTTCTAAAGTACTTTGGGGATAGAGTAAGTTGAGTACCTACTTTGGGGATAGATAAGATTGAGACATCTTTGTTTTGAGATGCTAGTTATTTTTGGGTTTATCGATCGAAGCTGCTTTATTGCTAAAATAGAATATAAACTCAACTTTTTACTTCACAGATTATGAGTAAAATCTCACTTAATTATCATCACCGTCTCGACCTTAAATCAGATTATTTTGTATTAAATAAAATCATTTTCCTCTACAAACTTCGGAGTCGTATTATAAAGGGAGATTATTTTGGGCACTTACGATTTTCTACAAGGTTTAGTCATTGGTTTTAAATTAATTCAAAATTTAATACTTTTATCAGATTCTGACGCTATTTATGTAACAGGTCTCCCCGCGTTGCCGACGATTGAGGAGCCTAAAGAAAAAAAGAGGTCTGTTGTGATCAGATGGTCGGACGGAGTGGGTGATGCAGCAAGAGCGGTTCCTGGACCTGTTTTCTACGTGCTAGAGGAGCAACACCATCTGGGACCGAAGTACGAGGAGATGAGACTTGGTGATTGGAATTTACTATTGAGAACGAATAAGTAAGTTCCTGATCAACATTTTACCATCCCACTTTCCTGCTAAGCCTTTTATTAAATCACTAACAAAAGAGTTCAGGAGTTCAGAGGAGTTCATAATTGTTACTTTCTCTTTCAAAGCCTAAAGAATAATCCGACTAATGGTGTTTTAATTTTGCAAAAGTATAGAAAAAAAACACTGTTCTGTATATTCGAATGATAAATGAGTAAATTGAAATGAAGATAGGTAAAACATGGTCGATCGTTAAATGAGACTAACAAAATGGCTAATTATCTCATAGAAAATTTATAGGATGTTTTCACATACGAAGTATGGAATCTTCATAATGTATCCATTGTTCTCGTAGACAAAGAACAAATATTTTAGAGAGTCAACCATTAAACGACATTAACATCTTTGAAAGTTTTGCCACACAATACATATTAGGGACGAAGAGACCCATACCTATTGTACCCCCTACCTTCTTACTCACTTCATTGTACTATTCAAAAACCTTAACCTTTCCTCTAGATTTGTCTACAAATCGGACTTATACTACTACTGATGCATCAAGCACAAAAATATGTTTGTGGGTTTCGTGGATTCCTCCTCAGCTTGAGCACTCAATATTTACCACCGTACCGTCTATCTACATTCAAAATGTTGTTGATGCTTTTTTTCTGATTTTCTCAAAGAGTATTAAGATTTCATACACATAGGTACATATTTCATCTTTTTTAAAAACTATCTTGCTCACGTGATTTAAGTGAGAAACGCTCTACTAGTTTCAAGCTACATCGGGTCCCTTATTCATTACCAGTTGTCTTACGATAGTTGCTCTACAAAAATATTCGATTTCAAGCAATATGAAATTCACTTTTTTGCTCGATAGACTAAGAACATATTTTTTATCTATTTTCTTAAACTTTCGTGTTTATTCCTTAAAAATAATACCAGTAAGATTTTACTTCATAAATATCGTTTTTTGCGCTATCTAGATAGTAGAAAATATTAATTCAACGTAACGTTACTGCGTGCAGCGTAACAAGGAAAATAGAAAGTAATTGTGCACCTACTTCTATTATGTATGAACAAAATCTAGTCTACAGTACAAAATTACATTAGCCTAAATTGATTACTTAATGAAAATATAACAGCCACGTAACGACTAGTACTATAAAATCTGAGTGCTTAATCCAAAAAAATTTAGTTATTTATTGCCAATAATACAGGGTGATTTATAGTTGATTACTTACTGCAGTGATGGGGTAAAAAGTAGTATGCCAAAATGTAATCTATCTCTTTGCCAAATTACATTCAGTTCCTTTCAGTAGTTTTCATGTGAGAACGAAACAAATATCCATCCAGTCATACTTTTGCGTGTGAAATACTTATTAGCAAGATTTTTAAGTTTTTTCAAACAGATGATTATTAGTACCTAGTCCTAACTCTAACAGAGCATCAAGAAGCACAGACTCATACACTACAGCTAAAAGACCGACGGTTACTAAGAATTTGATACTTCCTTTAGCCCAATCCAGGTCGAGACTTGAAAAATCATTTTTACCCCCTCAACTGGTCACACAATTGTCGCTTTCAAGATCCCATTTATATTAACTTAAGAGCTATACAGATCCCTAAAACAAACATAACACGTTTAGACATAAAATCATCATTGCAATTAAGTTTTATGTACTGGTTGTTATTGATCGAATTACAGTAATTTTTGAACTGTGAATTGGTGTAAATCACTATCTACATAAATATTAATGATGGTGATTCTCAATATTGCCTCGTTTTTGTTTTGAATGAACGTAAGTAGATAACAGTTGAGAATGAAAAAATTAGAAAGGTACCTACTCCAGCCAGGATTGCAGGCGAGCGATGATCTCACCTCATCACCTTACGGTGGCTGGAAATCATAGCTCGTTGGTCGGTCGGTAAGTCGACGTGGGTCTGGTCGGCCGGCGAGCTGCCATGATTCGCCGACGGTCTGGTCGGTCGGCGAATCATGGCAACAGACCCGAGTGTACGACGCGTAGCGATCCGCCCGCGCCTCAAATAGACCACCACAGACGGGGCCCTATAGGGCTGATGTTAATCCGGGGTTGCGGGGTAAGCGCAATGAGGCACTGGGACCTCGGCCCAGATCAGAAGTAGGAACGGGGGTTTTTAGTCAGTAAGAGTCTGACACTCTCTCTCGCCTTACCCTGGGAGGAAGAAGTCATTTGATGATTTTCCCCTCACAAAAAAATCCAGGATTGCGGGACTTACGGGTACAAGCACAATTATGTACCGCAACACGGCTTAGAGTAGGAGAAGGAACGGGGTGTTTTTAGTCAGTAAGAGTCTGACTCGTCAGAACCAGGGTGGAACAAGTTTCTCTATGATTTTTCTACCATAAAAACATACTATTTACTATAACACCGGTACATGACAATGTTTTCGTACATTTTAGACTCTACTACAATAATACAGTAGTAAGTTACGTATAACTGCGAGCGTTTGTAGCAAAAACTTTCATATGAAAATATCAAATAATATATCAAACACAATCCGAAAAAAATAACGGAGGTAATTAATTAAAAATAATTTCCTAATCATAAAAAATAATACCTACTGATAAATGACACAGCCATTTATATGTACAGGTAGCAATATTTTTTTACCCACAAAATTATACCGAGCGTCAAAGTGAAATCGTCTATTATTTTACAATCGATTAACGTTCTCACGAAAAGAATAGCTTAAAACATTTCCTAGTCGCTTTGTCAGTGATTTTATTACTACCTAATAATAAAAAGTGAAGTGTGTATAGCCAATTACTAGTAAATAGGAACAATTTAAACAATACACAATGAGAATTGAATATAGACTTTCATTTTAAGTTTTTATTACTTAATCAAGAAGCTTTGTCTTTGTAATATTATGATAACATTATTCGCTGCTCGCTTTACTGATGTTGGAGTTTTAATATATGTTTAAGCATTTGAGTAGGGCAATAGACAATTTTTGTGTGGAAGTTCGGTAGGTACCTACCTAGATAAAAATTAAGTATATATTGTCTCAGCACATGCCCTGCAACATAAGTTAACACCAGAACTATTCCAAGTTTGTTGCCGGCAACATTGTCAATGGGTGGCATTGAGCGTGGCATGTACTAATACTATAAATATCCTTTTAAATGGCAATTAAATCATTAAGTTTTGACCAGATATAAGCTTGAACTCTGAAATAAGGAAAAAAAGTAATAAAATAATAAACTATTAATACTTACCTACATACATCTTTCAACAGAACCAAAGTATCTTTACGAAATGCTCTGAAACCCGGCCGTTGGTACCGGTTCCGAGTAGCAGCAGTAAGTTCATCGGGAACGAGAGGATTTTCTGCTCCAAGCCCTCCATTCACACCACGACGGGGACCACGTCCTCCTCCATCCCCCAAGAAGCTGAAAGTTCGTCCTGTAAGAGAACATAACGGTGAGTTACATTTTTGTTGAAATCTATTTTCTGCCGAGTGGCGCTAGCGTCGCTTCAAGTCCACTTCGCGTCTAATTTTCGTTACAAAATCTAGTACTTAATGTTTAGAAACGTTTAATTAGGAAGTGAATAGTTGTGGTATTAGCTGGGACATACAACATAGCTAGCATAATAAATAAGTAGCATTCAAATGACAAGTTCCCGATATATTATGATGATCAAATTTAGAATAGAAGAAATGTTTAAGCGTTCGATACGAGTATAGCTTAAACTTGAGATATTTTTACCACTAGAGACGACTACCATTTTTAAATTACTCCCTTCGCTAGAAAGGATAATTAATGGACCGTAAAAGCTAACACGGTGACACGGTCCTAATTTCGGATACAATTTGACCGATATGACTCACGGGTGAGACAAAATCAGATATTATGCCCTTACTTATATTGCCTATGTATGACTTTATATGTATGATAATAATTTATTACATAGGCTAATTCTTCGTAGAACGATGCTGACTACTAGGTACTGGCGGTTTGGAATGTGTCGATGACCAATTTTTTGTTTTAAAAAATTGACAGCAATCTTTCGTTCCACCAACTAATCTATACCTCATATATATAAAAGAAAGTCTTGTTAGTTACTCCACATAACTCAAGAACAGCTGAATCGATTTAGCTAAAAAATTGGCAGGGAGGTAGTTTAGAGCCAGGAAAAGGACATAGGATAGGATAGAGTAGGTTGTGTAGGTTAGGTAGAGAAGGGTAAGAAGAGTAGGGTAGGTAGAGTAAGGTAGGTAGTATAAGGCACATAGAGTAGGGTAGGTAGAGTAGGGTAGGTAGAGTACGGTAGGTAGGGTAGGGTAGGTAGAGTAGGGTAGGTAGAGTAGGGTAGGTAGAGTACGATAGGTAGAGTAGGGTAGGTAGAGTAGGGTAGGTAGGATAGGGTAGGTAGGGTAGAGTAGGTAGGGTAGGTAGAGCAGGGTAGGTAGTCAAATGAAAAGAGCGACGCCGCGAGTAAGAGCTAGTCACTTTATACATATATGACATTATTATTTATGACACTACAACTAAGATCTCAATCAATGTTTTATGAGACAAAATAAAACAAACACCTGAGTACTGTTTCTTTGAATGGCTTGAATATGTATTGTTTACCTAAGTATATTTGTTATAATTGTCTGAAAAATCTTATTTCTTTTTTAAACACAAGTAACATTGGTTTTCGTTTTTCTTTTTAGGAACCGTCACTGTGAGATTGGAATGGAAGGAGCCACACTCCGACTTACCAGTGATGCGGTACAAGGTCTTTTGGAGTAGGCGTGTCAAAGGCTTGGGAGGAGAATTGGACTCAGTGCTGGTTAACCATCAAACGGTGCCCAAGGTAAAGTAATCTTTAGCATAGAAAGTTTAAAGTACATTTCGCATTTGCTCCGTTTCATCTCACTTCAAAACGTTGGTTGGCAGTTGGATCCTACATATAATTGAGTGGTACTTAGGATCTAATAATAATTAATTTTATTTGTCTTTTGTTCCCCTCTTGTCGTTACCGTAGATATTTTCTAAAAAACAACCGCCAATTGTATTTCGAAAACTATATTGGGTCAATGGTAGGCACTGAGATACATAAAAATACTTAGATAATTGAAGATAATTTTAACGAAAACATTTCTTTTTTCAGGACCAAAATTACATTGAAATCAAGGACTTACAGCCAAACTCGATGTACTTCTTGCAAGTACAAACGATCAGTCAGTTTGGTCTTGGTAAACTTCGCAGTGACAAGGCGTCTATTTTCTACAACACTACATCTACAGGGCGACTTGGTAACTGTCTACCTATTTAAATGAATTTGACAGGGGAAATCTCCTGACTGTCTTGAAACCACCCTGTTCTCTTGCTCTGAGAGCTTCTATAACCCTGGCTGAACATAAGACCTTATTGAGGATACCTAGTTGGGGATTTGTGGTACTCTGTTGAGGCACGTGCAGAACGCTACGTGCCTCGTTTCCACAACCGGTCCGCCTGCTTCTTTGCGAGCATGTTCGCTTTGCAGAAAGTTAAGACGGCTTCCCAGTTCCTCTGGTTCCAGACCACTTAACGATTATAATAAAAGTCGGTAAAAATCCTGAGGCTAGGAACCTACAATATCTTTAATTTTTTAGGTACTAATGGTCACCCGCGGCTGCGCCCGCGAGGATGTCGATTTTGGATTTATCAAGTTTTTGTTTTTTAATTTTCTTTACGTACAAACCTTCTCTGGACTTCCACAACATTAGCCAAATTGGTAAAGGCATTGTTGAGTTATAACATTACAGCAAAAGGTAGCATTGATTTTTATTTAATATACATTGATTAGGTGACCGTTGAATCAAGTCAACATGAGCCAAAAATTTCTAAATAAAAATCAGTTCATAGGGTTGCTACTTAGCTTTCCGATTTCATGACCCCGGCCGTTGATAAAGGGACAACGTACAGGTCGGTCTATATCTGATCTCGTTAAATTAATTTTTATTATAGTCGAAGCCTTAAAAAATCAACGCAATTCGAAAGACGAAAAAATATAAAATTGTAATTATTTAGGTATATTATTAAATCACAAATCACCCCTGAGCATCTACTACATCCTTTTTTCTCTGTGATCTTGAGGCCTTTATTGCTTACAAGCTGCTAGGTACTTGTCCTACTGTCCAGGAGAAGAAACGTGGGGTTTTTAGTCAGTAAGAGTCTGACACTCTCTCTCACCCCACCGAGGGCCAAGAAAATAATTTGAAAAATTTGTGCCCTCAAAAAAAAAACGCTATGCCCCGCTGCGGGAAAGCATCACTACACCTACCATAAGCTGTATGTAGCCTAGAAAAGACCCGCTGTCAAACTTCATATTCCAGATTTTGTTAAAATATATTCAAAATAAAGCCACACAACCACGAAGCCAGTTACGAATAACTGCCTCCACCGACCGGTGAAAATATTAAAAATTTAATCGTGATTCGTGAAACGTGTCAGAAACGACCTAGTTCTATCGCTCCAACGGTTGTAGTGGGTAACGAAGTGCTCTACGGGCGCAACATCTAAATAATTTAGCTAGACATTCCGTCGTTGAATTACAAATTGGAGCGGATAAAGCAGATCGAAGTGAACCCTATGTAACCTACGTATATAATGCTTTGGTTGCTAGAAATTCTTGAATTTCGAACTTTTAACTCAGAGTCCTTATATGAACGTTTTAACTTAGCTATTTCAAATTATTTTCACGAAGCTGTTCTTATTAAAGCTGACGTCCAAGTCTTATAATATCTCGTTTATGTAAGGTGGCGAGGCAATCTCTTTTTTTATTTTTGAAAATACGCAATGAGTTTGTACTACAACCAAAGTTTCATAAAGAAATTATTTTAACTATTCATTACGTTCAGTAAATTACAAAAAAAATGGTTATCATATTTTAATTCTTTGATTTGACGATCTTATATAGTAACTTATAAGCCCTTAGATTTATATTTTTCTATGCAATAGGACGGCAAACGAATGGATTATTGGATGCTAAGCAATCGGACACCTGAAACATCAGGCGAGTCAAGACTTCAAGAGAGCATTGCCGATCGTTGATCGTTTGGGGATTAGGGTTTCGGAGATATAGGGATTGGGGCAAGGGAAGAACGATTAGAGCTAAGATAGGCCAAAGGATTGTAAAAACAATTTAGGTTTATGTATTGACCAGTATCTAAGTAAATATGTAGAAATATGGAAACCAATAATAAATGAGCCATACTTGCCTACAGTTGCAATAATAAAAATATGCACAGTTCATACCAACGATTTGTCTGGTTCATAAACAAAACAAACCGATCAAATTGACAAGAAAAGCAACCTGATAATTATAATTTTCTTTCAGAATCACCTCCAGAACCGCTTCAAAGACGTGACAATAAGAAGATAAAAGGTCTCAGCTTACACAAAATTGTGTGGTACAATAACAAGTTAAAGGCTAGAATCGCTTGGCAGCCTCTCCCTAGTGTTTACGAGCAACCCGGAAGGTAATATTCCTAACAAACAATAAAAGATAGAGGTATACTTAGGAAGGACTTACATGTCACATCTTTCACATTGGTATACCGATTATTATTCTTTATGTAGGTAGGTAAGCCAGTAATAAGTATTTAAGTAGGTATCTATTTTAAATAAATATTTAAGTAATACTTAGTAGGCTGTAAAGTATACAAGTATCAAAATGGGTTTGCTATAAGGTGGTCTTGTATAATTAAAATAGGCAGGTACCTACTTAAATATAAGGTCATCATTTTTTTTTCGAGAATAGCTCTACCAGTTTCATGTAATACTGAGACTCGGATTCAGATGACATTTCTGCGCGAAGTCGTGCCGCGTCGCGCTCGCCGCGTCGGTCACCGCTCATAATTTATGAGTGACTGACTATGACTTTAAATTAGTTAGTTGTGCCTTTCTCGAATAATTTCAATGAGTCACTTATAGTCAATTATAAATTTCAACCCAAATTAAAAATCGTATAAGATTTGGTACCTACCTATATAAATCTAATAAGAACCGTTCCGGTCATTAATTTCCGGTTCTTATCTAGGTATACCTTTAAATTGATGTGTTGTTTTTTTACGTAGTTACCTGCTTAAACCAAATTTTCTTGATAATTAAACTTCCTACTATAAAATAAATAATAATATGTTACAGGTATTACATCCATTGGAAAGCGATTAAGTGCAAAAATCCCAAAAAGTTACGCAAAGAAGGCCTAACTGCTACGACTGAGGTAAAAACGTTTAAGTAAATAGAAAATAAAACATTAAAATATATTTTAGTTTTTGTGCAATTTTCCAATTTATTTTTTGGAATAGCATGAAGTTAGAAACGAGTCAAAAGTGCGGTAAAATTTTATATTGCCATGCAGTTCAAATAACTACCATTTTGGTAGAAATTTTGAAGTAGTAGTTTTTAATTGTTATCTTATTCATTTGCAGGACACGACCTTCGAACTATATGAGTTAAACTACCAGTGTATTTATAAGGTGAACGTTAATTCTACGCCGCGTGTGAAAACTCCAGATTCAGATCTTACAGTGACTGTTCCTGGGTGTGAATATTTTAAAAAAAGAGTCGCTAATAGTACAGTTATAAACTGTGACGGACATAATTAATTTGTATTAAAAATATTCTAAGTGTATCTTGACTGTTAATTTTATTACTCACGTGTCGAGTTTCGATCACCTAACCATCTTATAAAAATAATTTACTTAAAACAACTTGATGAGAAAATAATAGCAGCCTTTAATTGTTTTTATTATAATGCTAGGTGAAATAATATGTTAATAATATTATAGTATTGTAAAAACATAGCTTTTAAGTTGTTGGAAAAGAGTTATCGAGGATTCACACTTTTTGTATGGTAAATGTTGTCAGTGAAAACATAAAGAAATATAATTTTAAAAACCTTAAAGCTTTTATTTATTAGGTTTACGACTATTTTAGTGAATAAAACTACTAAGTTACTACCTCTGAAATCTTTGGTCTTTTCAAAATATCCCAAAATGCCATTATCACAACTGTTCTAGTGTTTACTAACTATTCTACTGACAAACTACAATCACTGTAGTTTGTCATCGCGATTTTGTGTCTCTAAGTTGAGTGCAATGAAGATAGTTAGAAGACTGCACTTACTGCTGTGACGTGACAATACCATGGTAATCAACATCAGATGACTTCTTTCGCCCTGGGTACAATGAGAGGGAGTGTCACACTCACTGACAAATTTACATCCATTAACGTATAATAAAATTAGGATTCAATGTTTCATCAACCAGTATTAATACGACTTCGACAACTAATCAATATTCATTTATAAAGACCTATATTTATTTACAACACCTCAAAAGCAATATCCACAACATGCAACGTTATGAGAACACCAATAAGCTGGTACTCAAAATAACATACAGACAAGGCAGCTCTAGTATGCAGGCGAAACACGTTAGATTTGCAGCACCTAGCTTCCCTGATGAACAGACTGAAAGACTGCTTCTTCATTTTGACGTTTCAAAAGTACCTATTTAGTGTTTAGTTGGAATAAATGATTTTGGCCATGACTTTGACAAAGTATCCAGTAAACAATGTCGCAGCAGGCTTAGAACGACATAAAATCTATACTTTATTATATACGAGCTTCTGCCAGCGACTTCGTCCGCGTGATATAGTGACTTCTAGCAGATCTTTGGTTTTACCCACATAGTTGCAGATCTTATAGGATTTTTGGGAAGTTCTCCTTTTAAAGTCCTAGAATAAAAACTATCCTAAGTCCTTTCTCGAGTTTCAAAATATGTCTGTACTAAATTTTATCCAAATTGGTTCAGTAGTTTGAGGGTGAAAGATAGACAGATTTACTTACGCATTGATCATCATCATCAGCTTATAAGTGCCCACTGCTGAGCAAGGTCTCTTCTCACACGGAGAAGGTGTGAACATTAATCACCACGCTTGCTCAATGCGGGTTGGTGATTTCAAATTTATAGTTAGAAGTTTTAAGTCCAGGTTTCCTCACGATGTTTACCTTCATCGTATGTCAGTGATGTCTAAATTGTCATAGAAAGTACATATAATTCGAAAAAAGTCATTGGTACTTGCCAGGTTTCGAACCCATACCCTCATGCATGAGAAGCAGGCTCCTTAACCTCCTGGCCACCATGACACTACACATTAATAGCATTGGATTAAAATAAAATAAACACAAAATTTTTCGGAAAACTTATAGCAACACACTGAAACAACTCAAAAACTAAATATGGATTTTTGCGCGCCCCAAAACATATAATTTCCAAGCAATCTTATTCTTTTACTTATAGCTTCGGCCAGCGGCTACGCCCGCGTGCTGTGTTGATAAAAAACAGCCTATATCAATAGAACAAAATCGAAGTATACATAATATGTGTTATTAATCGTCTCATTTTTATGGGTACATCTCCAATGGGTAAATACCCTATTACTTACTAAGTCTTCGCTATCCGTCCGTCCATAGGTAGAATAGTACGGATCTAACTAATAGGTGAGTATTACAAATATTTCATAAAACCTATTATATTATAGTTTATACCGAGTTGCGTCGAGCACGGCAATCGTTACACAAAAATAATTCTTATAGCATGATTTAGTGTTCACATGCGTCGGCGCGATGGCTTATTATCCGAACTGCTAAGCTATCAGGAGTTACACGTGCTATTGTGAGTTAACCATAAAAGATAGACATATGTTGTAAAGCAATATTTTTTAGATAATTTTATGTAGTATATTTCCGTCATACATAATTTCTATGAAATTTAACCATTAAGGCTACACACGCGACGGAAACTTAAAAAAGGGAGTAACTTCCCCCTTTTTCTATCATTTCCCTTCACTGCTCTGCTCCCATTATTTATAGCGTGATGAAAAGTATCCTATAACCTGCCCAGGAGTATAAAGAATAATTATACCAAGTTTTGTTAAAATCCGTGCAGTAGTTTTTGTTTCTATTAAGAACATACAGACAGACAGACAAAAATTTTACTGATTGCATTTATGGCATCAGTATCGATCAGTTATTACCCCCTGGTAGTTATTTTGAAAATACATATATTTAATGTACAGAATTGACTTCTCTACAGATTTATTATAAGTATAGATTTAATATTAAAAAGCGGAAGAGTTAGCTTGTTTGAACGCGCATAGGCAGTATATATCATCACGCTTCATTCCACGGGTGCGCAGCAGTAACCAAAAATGTAGGTACAACCGCGTGCTATAATAAAGTTTGGCTACAGAAACTTTACACGAAAAGATTGAAAAAAACATGAAAAGGGCAAAAAGCATTTTTGCCCAAAGGGGATGAAACTGATAGTTTCGTGTACTTATACTAACTAAACACATCCTTAACTATATTTGATAATAATTATATCTGTTATTTTGCACCTGTTTTATAAATAATATAAATTGAAAAAAGTAGTTTTATTTTTTTCTTCGCTGGCAATATCTACTTCATGTTTACTCCGTTGCCAACTTCATTCAGGACATTTGCAACCCTCAGAATGTCAAAAGTAAATAAAAAGAATATTTTGTGAAATAATTAAAATTTAAAACCGTAATTACACATTTTGCTAATATTTACCTACTTGCACCTATTGTGTTATTGTTTACTATTTTCACATTATAAGTGTTATTTAATAGTGTCGTATACAAATCTTATTGGAAAATTTCGCGAATGAGATCATTTTACTGTGTAAAAAACATTTTTCTTCTTGGGAAAGTTATATCCTTCTACATTTTCCAGTACAAGGCTTCCTACTGAAATATCATTTGGTGTTCATTTAATATTAAGTGGATACTAGAGGTGCGAATTTGCCAGGGCGTAACCACTGCTGAGGCCGATTGTAGGCTGTGTTTAAAATGATATTTATTAATATTTTCTGAAACATAACGAACAGTGTTTGTGTGAAAAATGGCTGAGGACGAAGTGCTTTTCGACGATGTGTACGAATTGTGTGAGATCATTGGCAAGTAAGTAAATATTGCAATTTATTTCGTGTTAAAGTAACGTGCGACATGCATTCGCACTCCCGTGTATTCAATTTTATCTATTGGTTATTTTACACCCTGCGTAAAACTACAAACGTTACACTACGAATAAACATTGTAGTAAAAACTTCGAAGGATTACGTTTTCTTTTTAAATGTAAACAGATTTTTTGCATAGTATAAGAGATTTTTGTAACTGAAATTACTTTTTAAAACTGTAACCATACATTTTCAATTTCAAACCTTTTTTACCGCTTATTATTTACCATATAATAAGTAGGTTTATTCCAATTTTAAAATAAACCCTTTGGAGTTTTTGATACAATAAATATAATTCATTGACTATTAGGCAACTAATAATACTCAACATAAAGTGGTCACATGATTTCAAATAAATTAATGTTTTTGATTGTTCCTATGTTTACATTGCAATAATCTTGAAGTGTTTGCTTAGATAACATTTATGAGACAGGTATAAACGGTTCAGAGTTTATGAATGAGTTCTGACAGTAATAAAAACATCACTTTTATTTCTATTTTATTAGTTCTTTGAAAGAAGCAATTGATACTTACTTTAGATAGAGTGTCTGTAAAATATTTATTATTCTGCTAGTTAGACTAATAAGTAAAATATGTAAATGTGATAATAAGATCTAGAACTATAATCTACGAAGAGGAGGTGATAATTAAGACTCATAAAATCAATCCATAAAAAAGATTTTATAAGATTTTAAGTGCAGTGAAGTTTATCATGGTATCTAATGGGGTTCTAGTTTTATTAGTTTTGATTTGAATAAAATTTTTTTTAAAAAAAGTTCTATTGAGTTAAATGTAATTTAGCCTAGCTTCACTGACAAACAGACTGACAGACTAGTATTCTATTTTGATGTTTCAAAAGTACCTATTTATGGTTTAGTTGGAATAAATAATTTTGACTTTTACTTTAACCATATATTGTAAAACAAATCATTTTTGCTATGACTCACAACTCCCTAAGCCACTGCTGCCAACTTCCTTCTAAGTAAATCAAGAATATTAAGAATCTAAATAAATAAAGAATATTATCTACTGCAGCCTTTAACAAAATAAACCAGGGTTCACTACAGAGTTTTTATTTTGTTAAAAAATATTGTTTCAATCAAAACAACTGTCTGTAGTATAGTTAGAGCTCTTTTTTGAATAACTAGGTCTATTAAATAAATCCTCTATTATATTTCTGGTTGCATGAAACTTGTATAATAGCTAAAGGTGGGTTATTTTATCACTTATGCTATGTTCTTCTCTCTCTTACCTTTTGGGGATTAAAGGTATGATCTTATAACAAAATGTGGCAATAAACTTACTTATAAGCCCCTCTGGGCAACCCATCAATGTGTATTTAATTTTGAAAATAATTAATTCCTATCTAACACTAATTAATGTTTTAATGGCCACAAATATTTGTCTGAAACATCCACATGTCAGTCTAATTTCACTATAATTACAGTTCACTTTTACTATTAATATTCGGTACACTGTTAAAATTGTAAATTGAACCAAATTCATACTTGACAAGTCATACATAATTTATATCGGTAATCATTGGAAAGTAGTATGAAATAACTGATACTTGATGCCAGTGTTGTGAATTAAATATTTCATGTGAATTAATGATTGCAGGTAAACAACATTGTGTTCTTATACCTTGCATAAATAATATAAACATAAAATAATATTTATGGTAGACAACATCTTTCAAAATAAATATCAATAATCAAGGAAATGAATAATAAAATCATTTCTGCCGAATGATGATAATTAATTTACAGGTTGATTAAGTTAGCCGTTCTTAATAAAATAAATTCCAATTTTCAATTGGGGAATTAGCTGTTATAAATGCTGACTATTTATTTGACACCAAGAGTAAACAGGTTTTGATAGACTAGTTCTAATTATGTTGATATTATATCTAGTTTTCATATAAAAATTATAATATAACACTCCCAAATTATCTATCAATATTATATATATGTCAACCCATTTGATAATGTTATCTTTTTATAATTAAGTTGTAGTATATAAGTGATTTAGATAAATACAAACCATTAAATAATGTTTCTAGGGGACCATTCAGTCTGGTCCGGCGCTGTGTCCATCGACAAACAAGCCAGCAGTTTGCTGTGAAGATTGTTGATGTGGCTCGCTTCACAGCTAGCCCTGGTCTTAGCACAGCTGGTAAGATCTGCTTATTTGTATGTAAAATATAGTATGAAAATCAGTATATACAACAAGAATTAGAAATCCATGTATATACAACAAGAATTAATATTATATCATATTAATCACTATTCACTAAACATTGTCAGGTTTTACACTAGGTACTAAAAGTAATTGATTAAAAGATACAAAAACAGTGTTACACATTTCGATAACATAAAAAATAAATGTTATGTTATAATAATTTTGTTACAAAAATAATGATAATAATCCTGTATGAATGTAAGGTTAATTAATGAAGAAAGTCTTGCCTGACAATAGTTTACTGTGTTTTACAGATTTGAAACGAGAGGCAACAATATGCCATATGTTGAAGCACCCGCATATTGTGGAGCTGCTAGAGACATACAGCTCCGAAGGAATGCTATACATGGTGTTTGAATAGTAAGTTATGTTGCAGATTTTTTTAAACTAATACTTGTTTTTCCGTTGTTAAACTTTGTTTGTTTTATGTTAGAATATAGTTTTTGTTAGGAAAGTTTAATTAATTCATAAAATGTGTTTAATTCCAGCATGGATGGTTCGGATCTCTGCTTCGAAGTGGTACGCAGAGCCACTGCTGGATTTGTCTACAGTGAAGCTGTTGCATGGTGAGTTTTTTAACCAGCTTATTTTAGGACGAATTCTTGAATGGTGGTCTTTGAATTTGTTGGATGTGTCCCAATCTTTATATATATAATTCTGCTGTACGTATGTATGTCATTGCACTGCTCCAAAACGGCTCGACCGACTTAAATGATTTTTTCTGTATGAGTCAAGCTCAAGTGTCGCCTTGGATGGTTTAGATTCACAAATCAGCCCTGCAGATGGCGTTGATTGCTTGAAAAATCATGTGATTTCGGAAACGGCCCTAAAGATTTAGCTGAAATTTGATATGCGGGATTTACAGCACTACAGTACAGTCTTTAAGTTCAATGACAAGACAGCTTATTCGTATATGCTCGATAACATTTTACTTTGTCTTTCCAGTCATTACATGCGTCAGATACTGGAAGCTCTTCGTTATTGCCATGAGAACGATATTGTGCATCGTGACGTCAGACCTCACTGCGTCTTACTAGCTGGTCGTGACAACTGTGCTCCCGTCAAACTTGGAGGGTTCGGTGTAGCTGCTCAACTGCCTACCCCCACTGCTAATCGAGTTCAACCCGGTATGATGTTTGGTATTATTTTGTTAGTTCAAATTGTGCTGCATTGTTACTGTATTAGAGTTTAATTTCCTATGAATTCTTGTGGATTTTGTAAAAAAATAACTTGATTATCTTATTTGTGTAGTTTTTTGTTTAATAGTTTTAGGTACGATTTTAGTGTAATAGTTTTAGGTACGGTTTCCCGGTGTTCATACCAAACTAGTACCAATAGCCATTTTAGTCAAGAAAATATTCTTATTTTCTGATTTGAATAGGTACCTAACTATAGTCAGACTTTTAATTCGATTCCTGAATTGACATTGACCACTGTCATTTTGTGAAATAATGATACCACATATAACAGTGTAGTGATGAACACAAAAATCGATAAACAATCAGTGAATCAGTTTCAGGAAGGCATTCAAAAAATTACGGCTACCGAATGGTCTAAATGTGTATCCCATGTTTTCAAAGAAGAGGAAAAAATTAGTAAGCTAGATATGTTAATTGACAATAAATATCAAAGACACAATTCATAATAAATGTTACATAGAGTAACGGCGATAGCGATAGCGATGACGGCGACAATTTATAAAATTTCTGTTTTATTTGTCACGTTCCTTCACGATCACATTTTTTATTAATTTCACACACAATTACAAAAGAAAAGTCTCAGATCGTTAATTAATTGTCAAAACTAAATTATCGGTTCAGAAATATTTTATTTCCTGATAAACTTAGTTTACGAGAGTAAATTTATAAACGAGAGGAATCGATTCAGAAAAAATCGATTTCCATATCGAATAATTTCGCAACGTCACTATTTATTACGTGTCATAACGTTGCAACACTGAAATTGTCAAATCTGGAATGGAATTAAAATTCCGAGTGGGCGTAAAATCAGATTAGGACTTTCGTTGGTAGTGGTGAAGGTTACGCACGTGCTTTTATCGGTGCTACGATTGTTGTCAATTTTAGTGATCTTATTCATAGTGAACTAAATTGAAACGTTTTATTTTGTGTGTTGTTTAATTGTGTGTGTAAGTTTTAATAAGGTAGTGTGTACTCTTTGTTTTAACACTTGTTCTCTCATCCCACCTTTTCTAATTTTTTAACAATGGACGAGGAGAAGCCCCCCGATCCTCCCGACAAATCGGATTATAATCCCGTCTTATGTGCTTCCCTCCCCTACGACCACCAGGAAAATGACTTAATGGATTCCGAATCCAATCTTAATAGAAAACGACCTGCAGGCTCCCCCATTATCTCCCGCGTCAACCCTCCGAAGCTAGCAAAAAATATTAATGGTAGGCAGTGCTATACGGCTAAGGACAACCCACCTTATATCATTCATGTCTCTCTTAAGGACTCCGAGACGACTGGCACTACTCTCCATCCAATTAAATTCGGTATGTTTTTGACAAAGAATAATATAAATAATATCAAAATTGGAGGAGTGAAGCGACTCGGCAGGAATAGAGTGTCGGTCGAGTTTGTCTCTCACCAAGATGCTAACAGTTTCCTGGTTAACTGTGTGGTAGCTCAAAGTTATGTCACCTCAATCCCTCAATACAACATCACAAGAATGGGTATTGTGAGAGATGTTCCCATTGAGTGGACAGAGGAGGAAATAATTAGAAACATCAAGGTTCCCGCTGGATGTGGTATTGCTATCAAAGCAAGAAGGTTAAACCGTAAAGTGTCATCAGAAAATGGTACGGAATGGAAGCCTACCCAAACTGTGGTTCTCACTTTTGATGGGCAAATTCTTCCAAAGAAAGTTTTTTGCTTTTACTCGGCACTCCCCATAGAACAATACACATACCCTACAATACAGTGTTTCAACTGTTGTCGTTTCGGGCACACACGTACTCTATGCCGCTCCAAGCCACGTTGCTTTAGATGTGGACAGGATCATCCTGGTGATGGATGTGTAGTAACCGAAGAAGTTGCACATTGCATTAATTGCAGTGGCAACCATTTTGCTACCTATAATGCTTGCCCTGAGTTAGGTCGCCAAAAGAGCATTAAAGCTCTAATGGCAGAAAAGGCAATCTCCTATGCGGAAGCAAGCCAGGTATTTCCCTCAGTTAAAAAGTCATATGCCGAGGTATCTAAACCCAAATCCACCAACTACATCCAATCCACACCAACCAAAAAATCACCCCCGCAGAGACTATCTTATAAAAAAACTGTCTTGGTCAAATCCAAATCCCATGCTCCTCTTTCTCCCAGTTATGATAAGAAGGCCCATCAGGCCCTTATCCAAAACTACTCCTTTTCCCCATCTCAGAATGGTTGCGCTTTCCCTGTGGAATCCGGAACCCACAGCTCTAAAAACATTTTAGACATAATTTCCAGCATGCTCATGGCAGTGTTATCCAACCCTGCCCACACCGTACCTGACCACGTTGCCCATAGATTAGCCACCATCGTAGATTACATTTATAAAATTCCATCCACTTACAATTCTCCAGTGGAACGTGAGGAGTACTCTTCCCAGGAAGAGTGACTTGCTACACCTTATCAACAAATTCCAACCATCTATTTGTGGACTTGCTGAGACATGGCTCCAACCGAATATTAATTTCGGGATCCCGTGTTTCAGTGTTGTCAGACATGACAGATCTGATGGTTATGGAGGATGTGCTTTGTTAGTAAGTAACAAAGTACCCTTCACCCAGATCCCTCTACCCTTCGTTGGCGACGACATAAATGTTGTCGCTGTTAAGGCTGAGGATATAAATATTTTTATGTTTTATATTGCACACCCTAATATTAATCATTTGGCCATAATTAAAAATTTACTTATGTCAGTGAGTGGCCCATTACTTGTAATGGGTGACTTCAATTGTCACCATTATAGATGGGGTTCCGATACCTGCGACAACATAGGTAGCGAGTTTGTAGAAATGATAGATGAGCTTAACCTATGTGCCATTAATGACGGCAGCCCAACCCGTAGGTCTGAATTTGGGCAAAGAAGCAGTTGTGTAGACTTAACCTTCTGCTCACCCAATATGGCAAGCGTGCTGAATTGGAGCTGTTTGAATATGACCTATGGTAGTGATCACTATCCCATAATAATCAAACACCTCTCTAAATCTGTCCCCGATAAATCCCTCCCCCCTCTCTTAAAATATCGATTAGAAAAAGCAGATTGGGACCTGTACTCTAAATTGTTAGATATCCGCATTTCTTCCCTCCCACGTATTGATATTGAGAATCCTTTGGAGTGTTTTTCAAAGTTTTCAGAGCTGATATCTTCTACAGCTGAAGATTGCTTCCCTGTGAAAAACACACCAAAAGGCAAAATCCCCTCCCCTCCCTGGTGGGATAGTGAATGCACTGCCATGATAAGAACCAGGAATGAGGCCGAAAAGGCATATAACCGAGACATGAGCCTGGAAAATCTCCTTAATTTCAAGCAGGTGTTGGCTAAGTCAAGGAAACTTTTTAAAAAGAAGAAGAGGCAGGGGTGGCAGAGTTTCTGTAGTTCCCTGAGCCCATCAACACCGATAACAACAGTTTGGCGGAGGGTGAAGAGCTTTAGAAATTCCATAAAGCCTACTTCTATTTCTATCCTGCCTGACGGTCTGAGTCACAGTTTCCTTACTAGCATTGCCCCTCTGTACGTTCCTGGCGAGGAGGAATGCTGCGTGGGACATTGTGAAGAATCGCGTGACCCGCTTGATAGGAATTTCTCCATGGATGAGCTCCAAATGGTTCTAAACCACGTAAGAGACTCCGCTCCAGGGATTGATGGGTTCCCTTACTCCTTTTTGGTGAAAGCAGGAGCCAAAACGAAGCAGTACTACCTTGACTTAGTCAACTTCTGTTTTACTTTCGGCTATATTCCTCCTACCTGGAAGGTTCAGGTTATCATGCCGCTGTTGAAAGCTGGCAAAGATCCCGGTGACCATTCGTCTTACAGACCTATTGCCCTATCGTCCATACTTTTAAAAATTTTAGAACACCTTATAAAGACCAGGTTGGAATGGTCGATAGAAGGCCGGGGGCTGTTTCCGGCGACTCAGTTCGGCTTCAGGAAAGGTCTGGGTACGGCTGACAGTGTGGGTACCCTCACTTCAGCCATCCGACTGGCCCTTAGCAGGGATGAGTCGTTGGTGGCGGTCTTTCTGGACGTCTCATCCGCCTATGACTCGGTCCTCCTACCCCTTCTCAGGCAGAAGCTGCAAGAGCTGAGAATCCCGAGTAGGATTTGCCAAATTATAGGCTGCATCCTTTCCAACCGCACCCTCCAATTGAGAACTCCTGGGGATGAGCCTTTACAGAGAACATCCTGGAGGGGCTTACCTCAGGGGTCTGTCCTTAGTCCCATCCTGTTTAATATCTATACCCACGACCTCCCTTCCTGTCTAAATTATGATTGCAGAGTCCTTCAGTATGCTGACGATATCGCATTAATGGTCACTAACAGCTCTATAACAGATGCTACCACCTCCATGAATGTCTCTTTGTCCTCATTACACCAATGGCTTCTCAATCATGGGTTGTCTTTAAGCGCCCCAAAAAGCTCAACTGTCATTTTTTCCCGCAGACGTCGCCTTCCAGACATTCACATAGAGATAGACGGTCAGCCCATTCCAGTTATGAGGAAGGCTAGGTTCCTGGGCGTCATCCTCGATTCTAGGATGTCGGGGGTAGATCACGTAGAAGCCGTAGTTAGAAGATGCGAGCGTTCAGTGTGTGTACTCAGAGCACTAGCTGGGGTATGGTGGGGTGCTCACCCTTACACGCTGAAACTCGTATACAATGCATTGGTCAGAAGTGTGATGGACTATTGCTGTTTTCTTATGGCGCCCTGCAATAAGCAAGCACTTAAAAAGCTAGATTCCATCCAGGCCAAATGCCTAAGAATAATTATTGGAGCTATGAAGTCTTCCCCTATAAACGCTCTTCAGGTTGAATGTGCAGAGCCCCCCCTCGACCTTCGAAGACAATACCTGGCAGACCGTTTCGTTTCTAAAGTCCTGACCCGCTCTTCTCATCCCCTACTTCCTATCCTTGAGCAAATCCATTGTTCCTATGGTTCTTCTCCATATTGGAACAATAAACCTGTCCCACCCGTGATTGTTAGGTACAGGGAGCTTAAAAACCTCTCTGCACCCATCAGTCAATACCCTATCCTTCCGGTTTTCTCTTCCGCATATGAGGTTATTCTCTTTAGGCCTAAGCTGGTTCTGAGTTTGGGCATTTCAAAGTCATCAGTGGACGCCAAGGGTGATTTTGAGCGCGCGCTGAGCAATTACTGGCACGGCTGGAATGTGTTTTACACGGATGCATCCAAATTATCCCGAGATGGATGCACAGGAGTGGCAGCATATTTCCAGAACTCAAGAATTGCTCTGCTCTCCAAATGTCCCCCTGAAGCCTCCGTGTTCACTGGGGAATGCGTTGGCATTCTGGAGTCCATCAAATTTATTAAATCGCACAACCTCAGCAACTCAGTTATCTTCTCAGATTCTCGAAGCAGTCTACAAGCGCTCGGTCAAGACCAGCTTTATTCCCGGACGCATTGTAGTCTGATCATAGAAATAAAATCTTTGCTACTATCCTGCCAAAGAGACGGACTAAATATTGAGATCGCATGGATTCCTGGCCACTCTGGTATATGCGGTAACGAGTGTGCTGACAGATTGGCAAAGTTTGCGGCCGTGAATAATGTTGAACGTCACCACTATATTGTGTATGGGTATGACATACGTGCCGATACTAAACTCAAGCTCTTCGACTCGTGGGCTACAGTGTGGGCGGACTCCTCTAAGCGGAAAGGAGCTTACTATGCAAGTATCCAGACCGGTATCCAGCGGAAACCTTGGTTCTCCAAGCACAAGAAACTCCCCAAACACACTGTTTCGTCTTTGTGCAGACTCAGACTCGGCCACTGTACTAGCCCGGTATTCCTCGCCAAGATACGCGTACGTGACAGCTCGCTGTGCGAATGCGGTCTTGATGAGGGTACCCTAGACCATATATTTTTTTCATGCCCTCTTAATTCCCAGTCCTTTGACCTATATGGAAACCTTCCCAAAATCCAAATCCCACTCCCAATCAACTTCCACTCCCTTCTAACTAATTTTTCCCACAAATTAATTAAGTGTCTGTCCAAATTTATGAATGAAAATAATATTAAAATGTAGCGGTGTGTAATAATGTAAATATTGTGTGTGTTATAATTATTATGTATATATATATCTAATTATCTATTAAGCGTAAGGTAAGTATAGTAACTGTAGGTTTATAGATGATATATGTTTACTAACCCAAATGTTTTGTCCTTTCCAGCTACTAACAAGTAAATACTACCACAAAGTTAAAAGTCGACGGTACACTACTCTGCCGTCACCACTCGACACTGGCAGTATAGTCGACAACATTATATTGGAGACTCAGTTGCCAAAACCAACAAAAAAAAAAAAAAAAAATTCCGAGTATAGATTTTTTGTATGTTTGGTCAAATAAATTAATATGCATCGCTAAATGTAGGCTGATAACTACAACAAATTGATTTAACGATTTGATACAATTAGAGTATTGTGAGTTGTGACGATACTTAAAGAACAGTAAGCATATTTTTGTTGTTAGTACTGAGGGTTTGCACTATTTTTTTAATGAGTTTTAATAAATATAGGTTTTAATTTTCTTATGTGTCTGTAAAGGTCGACTGATAAAACTAAGCACAGGGTACTTTTACTTTACTATGTACGCGCAAACTGATCTTTATTAAATGATTGCACATGTTCAGTGTCCACCAATCAGAATACAAAGCTTGAATATAGGCTTGAATATATATATTTATTATATAGCTTGAATATATATATTTTTACTTAAATCCCTCTAACTTTAAATAATACCTATTAAAATATTAGGATAAAATAATATAGTCTTAAGATCCACTGACTCTTCTCACATTTCAATGGGCATAAGTTTTGGGATATAAATTAAGTTACCTAAGTTCTTGTGAATCTATTCTCACATTTCAGTAGGCATTGAAGCATACACGAAACAAGTAATATTAAACCGCTGGTCAAATTACCTATATGTAACAATGTTGTAAGTCAACTATCTATCATTAGGTAGGTACACAGTAACATAGAAAGCTAACAAGTTTAATGGTACTTTATGGTTGACTAGGAGACAGTACAGTCACATCAGTCTTATGTACCTGTACGAGCTATGCTGTACATTGACCTTAGTTATAATACCTATGTAATTTTCGTCAATATTGCAATTAGGCAAAACATTATAATAACATTATTTACTTTAGAAGCAATAAATTCACTACAAGTGTTGGACGTCTACTCATTTCTAAATTAACATTTCGGACAGTGTTCGAACTAACAACAAAACATCATAACAACATTGATGGGTTAAGCCCCCAATAGTACCTTTACATTTGCATTAAATTATAAATAAATAAATAAATTCATAACAAACTTGATGACAGTAGGTTGTATTGTACAGAACTGGTGATGGACACTCGCCCGCTAATGGGTCCGATGGGCCAAGCGTATCTCAAATCAGACGAGTACGGTAAGACGTGGACTGTGCCATAACTGCATGGACATGTGCGATTGTCACCAGCACTGTGTCTGTATTGTCACTTGTTAGAGAAATGTAGCTGGTTGAACAATGCGTGATAAACTCATTAGACGAAAGTTTATAGGAATGAGAATTTTCCTCCATAGCCTATAGGCAAGTTGTAAGAAAGTAAGAACACTGTTAGGCATTTGTTGTCGAAGTTTTTTAGTTGTGCAACTTTAAAAAAATAAAGATTTTGTATACGATAAAAGGTTGTTATTGTAAAATTGATAATTATTATTATTTCATAACAAAAAACTAATGTAATGTTTGAAACTGGTTCTCATTTTTATCAATCAGTTGATATTAGGAGACTATTTTCGAGCATACTAAGGCTTTGTGGAGATTACAGCACTATGGACGCCATGAAGCACACTTTGAGAATGGCTACTGTAAGCTTTGCAAGTCAGAATCTGCATAGGAGTATACATTGAACCATCTAAAATGAAGATTTTTCGTCTCAGGAATTTTATTGAATGTTTTAAAGTAATTAGGAGAAATTATTGATAAATAGTGCCGAGTAACAAAAATAATACTTACATACAGCATTTTTGCTATTTTTCTTATTTCTAATTTTTGTATTACTAAGAACATGTAGTGTGAAATATTTTTAAACTTCATATAGACCATAGAAGTCAGATTCATGAAGCTAATCCATCAATTTGTAGCCATATTAAATAATTTATCGCTCCTGGTAGATAATAAGAATTACCAAATAAATTATACTTACCGCCACGTCTATGCATTTATATAGGTATCTAAGTAGTATTATTTGCAATGTTTATCGCGCATTGTTCTTTCCTGCTTCGCCCTCTAATTCAGTGATATCACCATGTGTCTTGTACGACAGACATGTCGCTTCCGATCACAGTATTAACAATTTAAGTTGGCACCTTATGTTCATAACATATTCGATCATCGTTCCCTATTCTAGTTATTGTACCTAAAAAACTAATATTCAAAGCATAGAATTTTCTCTAAAGTGATGACGTCATCGTCCAGTACCACACACGTAGTTTGTGATAGTGTTACAAACGTGACATATGACGTCACAGAACAGTATTGTACCCCTGCTTCGATCACGAGCTTTGAAGTAGTTATTGATGTAAAAATAAGTACTAAAAATATGTGTAAATAAATTATAATCGACTATTTTATAAATCGATCTATAAAAAGTTGTCTAATATAAAAAACACGCTATTCAATTTTCGCACCCAGTCCTGTATTATAAAGTTAATTGACGCACTTTTCACTTGTCGAAAATGTTATTTGTTCCTCAACGAATCATATTTTTTCCATGATATCTCATGTACTTATTCAATAGTGTTGGTTTACGTTGAGTGTTTCTTTGTATTTTTATAATTTGGCCACGTTGAACACTTGCTTTACATGTCCAATGTTAATTTATTTATTGGCTAAAAACTGTTAATTTAAAATATACCTCAGCAGCGCCATCTCTTGAGGTCACTTATCAATATACTAAAATTCTTAATTTGAAATGCGTGGTCCTTCTTTCCTTTTTTTTATTACTAAAGAGTTAATAAACGCTCAAGAGATGGCGCTAGTGAAATATAAATTTAAAAGTAACGGTTTTTTTACCAATGAAAAAATAAAACAGGATATCGCAAGTTTTCACCGTGACCAAATTAAAAGTTTCTAATAGATTCCAATTTAACTTAAAACACACACATCCTAAACATCACGATATTCCGCAGTTGCAACTCACCTACTATTTCAGCATATGTTTTAACCATAGGTTATTTTAACAGTGATTTGTATACCTGCCATTGTATAATAACACTTTAAAAAAATCTGTTGGTACTTTATAGCAAAAAAAAAAAAAGAAACTATACTATAGGACCTAGAAGGAAACATTTTGGCTATTTTTGATGACGAGCCAAATTGTTATTCTAAAGGTACCTCCAGGGTTTTACAACCAATTATGTGTTTTAAATCATCACTAAATAAGGTTCATTTTCAGGTCGCATTGGTACACCTCATTATATGGCTCCTGAGGTAGTTTCAACTCAGCTTTACGGCAAACCAGTTGATGTATGGGCCGCTGGCATATTGTTGCATGTTCTACTGGTCGGTTACTTACCCTTTACTGGGACAAGAGAGCGACTGTTCGAATCTATTTGCCGAGGACGATTGAGGGTAAGATTTGAAAATGCAGTATTTTTTTATTTAACTCCCGCTAATACCTATTAAGGCCGACAAACCGAATCACTCAAGTAGTAAGCTTTGCTCAGCAGTTTGTCGAGGATATGTGCACATAAGTAATGTGAAGAGACAAAAGGCTACCTAAAGTACAAGTAGCGCCATCTATTATCAAATTCTTAAATTTTTCACTGTTCAGTTATTAGTCGAAGTAATGTTGTGTGTCGTTAATTAATTTACATTTATTTTTACAGTTGGATACTCCCTTATGGGATGATATCAGTGATGCTGCTAAAGATCTAGTGCGGCGGATGTTGAACATTGATCATACTCAGAGAATTAATATACAAGAAGTCCTCAATCACCGTTGGATAAAGGTATGTGTCATTGTCTTAGTATATTTTCAATAACAATACAATTTAAACATAAAAACTTTAACTTCACATTCAGTTTTAGATCTAAATCGGCCTTCAAACCAGACATTTTTGGTTGAACTTTATTTTTTCTCCCATTACCTTTTACCCAATACCTTCTTATATATATTATATAGTCCAATAATTGATTTTTTGTGGTTTAAAAATGTAACTTTATACATTTTCCAGGACCGTGAACATCAAAACCGTATCCACTTGGCTGGAACAGTGGAGGAACTGAAGAAGTTCAATAGTCGACGGCGGCTTCGCGCTGCTACACTGGCAGCTGCAGCAGCTGATGATGAAGAAGATGAGGAACAACCCGCGCGCCGCGCTGTCATGCTTGAAGAGGCTAATGCTGCAGGTACGTGAGAAATTCAAGTTAAGGAGTTATGTTAAAGTTAAGCATAGCTATTATAACGCATAAAGAAATAATGAACAACAGTTTATTTGCACTGTGAAAAAGTTAAAAAGATATAGATAGAAACGAAAAAATCTTAATAAATAGTATTAATAGTCCGTCGGTGAATCTAGGTGCTCGTTCCAAAATGTGGATTCGAATGGAGAGGAATGATCTAATAATTCCATCATTGGTCTAGTTAACAGAACTACTCGAAACTGTCAAATTACATAGATCGATTTTTGAGTTTGAAAGGAGTTCCTAGTTCTAGGTTATGAGACAAACTGTGTGTATAAATAAATGTGCTTGTAAGTTGAAATTATATTCTACTACGCACTTATCTGGAAGTATTGTACTCGAAACGCCACCTATCGTATATTTAGCATAAAATGGCTAAGCGTTGGTGTACTAAACAAAACAAAAGTTCTTGTGAAACTGAGCTCTCAGTAGTTTGTTTTACTAAAAGAGTCTACTAAAACAACTTCGAGATGGCGCTGATCATAATTTTGTATACAACGACAGCACCATCTAGTGATAATTCTTTGCCAACATCATATTTCGCTCGTGCTCACTAGATGGCGGTAGTTGTTACATTTTGTTAGTATTGTTTGTGATCCTTTATTTTGTGCAAGACTGAATTTATTTAGCGCGAGCGTCGCTTTCATTCGTTCAGTGTTGCCACTGACAAATGTCACATAGGCGTCTATTATTTGGTACTTTATTTTTCTGGGATTTTTTTTTTCTTTTTACTCTATTTTTTAATCATAAGCCGTTTGTTTTTTTGTAGTAGTTTATTATTCAAACAATTATAAAAAACATATTTAAATACTTATTTTCTTATCTTAAGTTTCTGCGCAGATTGGCGTCATGCGTTAGTGACGGCCATCGCTGAAAATCAGCGCCGCGAACCCGTCTCGTACGGGGTCGCTGCATTATGCTGAGCGTGGGCCATTTCGCGTGCTTGGACGCATATTTTTCTCCTACCGTCTACTTTTGTGATATTGTTTTTACCTTGCTCAATGTATTTTTATTTTAACTTTATTTTATTATCTTGTTCGTTTTGTGTCTTTTATGCGTCCCAGACGCGAATAAATACTTTTTCTTTCTTTCTTTCTTTCTTTAATTTATTGTTACAGCTGTAAATCTGATTGTTGAGTCTCTGGACGATGTCGCGGTGCTGCAAGATGGTCCAACACTGATGGATGTCGATCTGTTTCTCAGCGTTCTCGATGATTTGCAACTACGAGCTCTTTTGGAGGTAAGAACGAGTAACTGTACTAAAACCAGAAATATAATACAGTCTTAACATTAAAACATTAAAACTTATAGAAGAAAAATTAAACCTAGGGTTTTGTTATTTGGTCCAACAGTTACAGGTTTAGCTGTAGTCGGTTAGGTATCTGATAAATATGTATTAGCTATTTTACACCTAACTTTCGCATACTTACAGAGATTAATTTTTTACCAAGTGTTTAGTAACTGACGTTTACTATTAGGCACCTTTGAATGAGGATGGAAAATCATTAAATTTCGTATTGATCGGCAATTAAATGACCGTCGGAATTTTTTTGATTAAAATCCACCTGTTCCAACAATTGGTCTGTATTTGGACCAAGGACCTCATGCATTGCATGGGTAGCGGGTGCCTCTGGGCCATTAAGACGTTTTATTATTTATAGCGTTGATTGATTACCATCAGGTAATGCGTCGCGTCGCTTCGTTTGCCGTTCTACCATATAAATACCATATAATAAAAAAAAAATACATCTGCAGTTAACATTTTATAAATGTTTTATTGATATATTGGTGTACTACCCAGATCTACGACCGCATAGCGAGCACGGTGGTGGTGACGAGCGGTCGCGCGCCGGCGGCGGAGGGGCGCGCGCGCTGCCGCCAGGCGCTGGAGGCGGCCACGCGCCTGCGCCACGCCGGGCCCGCGCCCGCCGCCGCCACGCCCGCCACCGCCGCCGCCATACACGAGATACGACGTCTGCTCGCGCTGCCGCATATTAAGGTACCACACTCCTTACATACCTCATCATCATCATCAGCCTGTAAGTGCCCACTGTTGAACAAAGGCCACTTCTCACACGGGGAAGGTTTTGAGCATTATTAATCACCACGCTTGCTCAAGGCAGATTGACGATTTCAAACTTACAATTTGATATAAGTCCAGTGTCAGTGGTGTTTTAACAATCATAAACATTACATACAACTCGAATATCGTTGTAGCGACATCTATCGCACAACATTGACAACAGCACCAATCACGTACTTACAAGTATCTACATCGCGCTATATGAGTTTACAACACAATTAGCACTGATACAAAAATCCACCAGGCACGAACACCTCGCCTGGTCGGAGGATCCTCCCTTTTCAATGGAGGATGAGGATCTTTCCACCCTGTTCTCTCATACCTCTAAATCGTCATGCATGAATCTGCATGACGAGCGAGCACCTCAACCTCCGGGCCACCACGACGTTTTTACATACATAATATATCTAGTAGCTACAATTCATTATATTGAATGCCATGATCACGTGACTTTTGTGAGGAACTCGTTGAGTGTCGTTTGACTCATGTTAAACACAAAAGTACAGAGTATCGTTAATAGGTGGCGTTAGTTTGCTATGAATTTTTAACCTTTCGTCTGCCGGTCTATATTAGTCTCTATACAAAATACTTGTGGGATTGCCGTGCTTCGGCTTGAATGAGTTTACAAGGCCCAGACCTTCCCCGTCCGATACCCAATGCTCAAATACCTTACTCCTGAAAGGTCAACAACGAACTTGCAACACTCCTCTTGTGTTGGATTGTTGAGAGTTATGGTATTTAAAAATAAAACGATAGTTCTTATAACTTGTTTATTTACCCACTAATTAAACTGATATAAATGTAAAATACGACGATAAATCTAAAACAAGAGTAAAATAGCATTAAACAGTATCTAAGTATAACAACTGAATAGTTATTATATGTTATTTTATTTTATTTTGTATATTATTTTATTGACAATCGATTAACGTATAGTTCGTTCCATAATTAGAGACAACGATTTGACATTTCGAGTGTTGCATGTTTTTTCCATTTCATAAATAGTGAAGTCCCGCGACCGGTATTAACCGAAAGACCGAAATTAAATTCTGGACTTCGTGCATTTTAAAAGCTTTATTATTTTAAGCTACTTTCCCTGGTACCTTCCTGTGCCCATACTAACTCAGTCGGGTTAAAATCACAATGGTAAGGAGGCAATCGTTAAATAGTAACCCCCCTTTTGGCAGCCATCAGTCCACGACGTATCATTCATAATTACTCTTCTCTTTCCGGGAAATCTCCAACAGCTCGGCTTTTAGCATAGGTTCCTCAAATATAATGTTTTTCTTTTAGCCAGTCTTGGATTTCGCATTTTTATTTTAAATTATTATTATTAATTCTTCTTAACTATAAAAAACATCACCGCAACATTGTTTTATTTTTGCTCAGGGTATTTTATAAAAAAACGGTATCGGTATTTTATTTAAAACATCGTACTCGGGCCCATCACTATGTTGAAAAATCTGGCTACATTATTTTGTAGTTTGACATTTGCTGTTGTCAAATTGTTGTCTCTAATTATGGAACGAACTATAAGAAGGCTGAGATTTTTTGTATTCTTTTTAATTTTCATATATTTCCGTGATTAATGTAAACTTAACTTATAAAGTATTGTTATTATGTATTTAAAAAACTACCAGTAACAATAAAACACTATATTTTACGTCATAAAGGCATGCAGACGTATTCAATGCCTCAGTACGGGCCCGTAATAAGGCAATCTTTGGAACCACTGGTCGGATTGCCAAAATTCTTTCACTGACAGATAGCTACCGTGTTCCTAAGTGCTATAGGTTATAAAACGTCATGCTACGATAAAATGGAGCCGAGCAGCGGGTGAAACCGCGAGAGAGTAGCTAGTTTTCAATAAAGAAGTAATTTAATAAGAGAAAAGATACTACAATTAGGTACGCTGCTGATGCGTTTACGGATTTGGCATTTTTCTAGCAACATCCGAGATTGCATTAGCAATAGATGTCAGAGCAATTGCTATATTACCAATGTTTTCTGATAGTTTAGAAAATTCTTGCGTAGTTATTAATTCTGATTCGAGTTTTCGCTCTTCGATATTTATTAATTGGTCCATATGTTCATCCAATCTACTCTGTCGGCGCTGTCGAGGTCGTGGTACAGCATTCATAAATGGAGAGCGTGGCGCGGGTACTGAAATGAAAATAATCATAAGGAATGAAATATATTTTTTTGTCAGCGTAATCTTAAATGAATTTTATTTTTTATATTAGCCCCACACTAGGATTTTTGTCCCGTATCATGGGTGCGTTTACAAACATCACTGACTGATTGATTGCAAACATACACTGACTGATTGATTGACTGCACGGTTGGTGCGGTGGCTGGGCAACTGGCTGCCGTGCAACGTGTCGCGGGTTCGATTCCCGCACGGACATCACACAACTCTTTGTGTGATCCACAAATTGTTGTTCCGGGTCTGGGTGTCATGTGTATGTGAAATTGTGTGTTTGTAACCACCCACGTAACCCACGACACAGGAGAAAATCTTAATGTAAGGAAACGTTTATTTAAAAAAATAAAAAAATACAATTTCATATACACATCACACCCAGACCCCGAAAACAACAATTTGTGAATCACACAAATAATTGTTTCGTGCGGGAATCGAACCCGCGACACGTTGCGCAGCAGCCAATGGCCCAGCCACCGCGCCAACCGTGCAGTCAAAAGGCAACTATCATAGAGTCATACATTATTCCTTGAATTTGAAATACTTGAAACTTCTTCGTTTTGTGGAATGCTAGTAGGCGCGACTGCCGAAAAACGATGAAAAAGGGTTTTACACTGTGTAAATAATATTCGAAACTAAAAGTATAACGTTCTTGGGTAAAATACTTGATTAAATAATGTTGAAAAGACACTTCTGAGTGGCCATAAAATACGTAACAAAAATTGTACTAGGGATTTTTTGCTCCTAATATTGACTAGTCCCAAAACACTTAATGTTACACATTCGTGTACGTACAGACCTACTTGAGTTGACTTCAAGTGTGTGTGACTAATGGTTTTTTTTTTTGTATTTTTTAATATTCTTGAGTTTGAATATCCCTTTTGTAACGGTAAAATAGAGTATCTATAATTACACAACTTAGTTGTAAAAAGTAGTTTTAGTATTTTTCCAGACATGACATAATCTATCTGTATGCCTAATTTTATTCAAATCCGTTCAGTTATTTTTAGATAGAAGAATAACAAACACACATCTGACTTGACTGACTTGACTGCACGGTTGGCGCGGTGGCTGGGCACTGACTGCCACGCAACGTGTCGCGGGTTCGATCCCCGCACAACTCTTTGTGTGATTCACAAATTGTTGTTCCGGGTCTGGGTGTGATGTGTATGTGGAATTGTAAATGCACCCACAACACAGGAGAAAAATCCTAGTGTAGGGCAATGTTTTTTTTTAAATAAAAAAAATAACACAGCCCTGACTAACAAACTTTAGCATTGATAATTTTAAGTAGGATTAGTATAAAGGTTTCTTGACAGTAACAAACGCATATTACCCGTAGGTATTTAATTTTGAAAGGTTTTTAGGATTACAATAGTAAACACTTACTTGTTGATGATTCTGGTATTGTATCGCTGTGTGATGACCCAAGCATAGGAGAATTGTCCTGCATTTCCATGTCTTGTTCTGTGTGCTTCATCATAAAACAGTGGCTCGGTAGGACTGGTCTGTAACAATAAAAATATTGTTTGTTTGTCTTTACCAATTGGACCACAGGGTCCCGGTCATTTGGGAGGTGTGCGAAGGGTCGGAGCCAACTGCGCAAAGGCCCTTTTGACAACTTTAACCTAAATGAATTGTTATTGGGCAAGCAAATATTTGACGTTATAAATGTGACTGCATATTAAGTTGGTGTGTAAATCCAATATTTTTATCTAAATGTCAAAAATGATTTTTTTACTTTATGTGTTATACATAGTTATGTCGTCATCATACTAACTATTTGCTATGGTAATCCGAAAATGCCGTAAATGTATGCCGTTCCTTTATACTTTATTATATAGAAACGAAAAAAAAACATTTATTACACTTAACATTAGATGATATTAATATTATGGTTGACGGCAACATCACCGCTTACACACCCACAATGGTCAAACACAAAAGATAATTTCGCCTGGCGCAAAAAAAAAAAAACAAAACGTACCTTCTCGCTGCAAACACCCAATCTTTGACCAGCACGCTGAATTATGTATATATGCACTTTATTATAATACAATAAAATACAATAAGCTCTTAATCTATCCCAGACGACTTCCCGTCTCCACAGCCCAAGAATAAGTGTCCCTAATTCTTATAACTTATAGTGTTTACAACTCTCGGCTCTTATCGATAGGACTTTTTGTACAAGGCCCTTATTGTTTCGAAGGGCCCTCCGCGTGTTACTATTATGGCAACCCAATAGGGCCTCATAATAGTGAAGTGAGTGGGTCACAAAAAACAATGTCTACTTGTTATCCAATAATTGTATTTGTGCCTTCTAAGAACATATCAACCCTACGTCGCTTAAATATGTAGGTTTGTTGTATTTAAGTTACGCACTTAAATACAACACATATGTCATTCAGAAGATTTCGATTTTCAATCCAATGATCACTGTTACTAGATTATCTAGTCCTGTAAAATTGGGTAGGTCCCTCAGACGAAAGGAAAATACTATAAGTTTAATAATATAAAATCATAAAAATGCATCAAAATTAACACATAAAAAAGATAGATATACTTATTTTCTAATTCAAGAGAAATAAATATGCTATTTGACATAAAATTATACTGACGTCATAACGTGCTATTTCATTTAAAATTCATAGAAATTGTTGTATTTGACTTCGGAAAAAGTATTAATTTTGATTAGTTGGAAACTATCCTGTTGTACTTATTAACTTCTGATTATGTAGATACGTCGTTTGAAGAGTAACGCTTCGTTTATGGACATGCGCTGTCTATTAGTGTCCATCTATACTTCAATACTAATATTAGGTATAGGTAAAGATGTAAAATTTGTAAGTTTGTATGTAGGGGGTAATTTGGAACCGCTGGTCGGATTGCCTATACCTACTCTTTCACTGATAGATAGGTACAATGTTCATGAGTGCTATAGGCTATAAAACATCACGCGTAACCGCGCGAGAGTAGCTAGTAGGTTATTTAAATGTGTGTGTAGCCTGCGAACTATACACTCATTAAACTTATTTCAGAGCTAAGTATCTCAATATTACATATGAATAGCCGGGGTTGCGGGTAAGCGCAATAAGGCGCTTTCCTCTAACAAAAAAAAAGTATAACTTCTAAAAAACGTGACTGACAAAACGTAAAAACCCGCTAAAATCGAAGACATAACGAAATATGTTTCCCACAAAAATATATCGAACATAACAAAGAGACAGACTTCATACATTCCACTTCCTCCTCCAAATAAACGTTGAATAGCTTCACACTATTTCCACTTTAACCTTCACATCACGTCCACCGAAAAAATCTCTGTACAGAACCAACCAATTCTATCGACCTTACGTAGGTATATTTACAAAATATTTCATTCCTTTACAAAAGTTTTATTAGAACGCACGTTGTATGAAATTGAATACACAATGGCAGTGCTATTCAAACAAAATTCAATATCCATATCCTTCGTTGTTTATAACTCCATGCCATAAACAACAGGTCTCGGAGGTAACTCTTAGACTATGATAGAGTTGTCTTTATTTTATCGATAAACTTGATGCGCTGGTTTGGTTTGCTTGAAAAGTTTTATAGAAAGGTTTTCAATTGAATGTGGTTGTTTTGGTAAGTTGTAATGTTTGTTAGTAGGGAAATAAGTTATGTGCAGGATGTTTATTGACTGTTAAGTTTTTTTATTATAGAAGAAAAAATCTAATTTATAAAGCATGCATTTAATCTTAGATTTGTTTTCCGAGATGTTACTAATAGGACGATTTTATACCGATCCTCTAGAACAACCTTACTCAGGATTATTATTACCATATGCAAAACAGAATAAATGTTTCGTAAAAACAAAATAACATCTACTAAGTATAAAGTAAATTCTGAAAGCTTTATAAAATTCTAAAAGTTACAATCATAAATATTTTGTGACCGAACCCTAAAAAAGGTAACTTACACCTAAATATTTGTAACCCCCAAAGATACGGGCGCGCCGAGGGAAACGAATTCTCATAAGTGATATCAAATCATATCACGACCAGAGGTACCTACAATATTTATTCGGCCTTGTAAAAGTTTCATAGTACGGACACTGGCACGTCAAACTCCTCTATTCTCTCATATTTCCTATTTAATAGATTCTCAACTTTATATATACGTAATAAAGTCGACATCTATGGGGGTGCCTGTCTAGTCATCTGCATGTTTCAGTGGGGTCACCAACATTTCTCACAATGACGGACAAGTTTCATGTCTCTCTCCCTTTTATTTATTCACGCTTAGACTGCGAATAGGAAATGCATTGTACTATGTAGTTTGGTAAGGATAGTGCTTTACGTTTTTGTGTTCGTCGTATTTATTGTGTTACCCTCTTCTTTGCATATTTACGATTATGTCGGTCGAGATTCCATGCCACCAATTTTAGTCACCGAAAACAAGAGTTTTTTTAGTTTCGTTAGCTAAAACGAAATTCATGATTGCTTTGTGCTATACTTTTGAAAAAATCGAAATGTATATTAGGTAATTACTAATTAAGATCATATTATCTAAATGATATTGACCTCTTTTATGGCATTTTGCAGTCTTATATAAACACTACTATTACATATAAACAAATAATGGCACAATGTGGCTTCGTATTAAAATTAAATGAATGATAAATAGATCATAGACCTGATCCGTTATATGTATGAGCATATAACGGATCTGGCTAGCATTTTCAAACAAAACCTCTATTTGTAAATCAGCACCCGCTTGAAATACGACAAAAGAATGCCAGGACTGTTCGGTGTTCTTCAAAATTCATGGAAGTACGACTGCTACTGAAATGTATATTAAAGTCTAGTTCGTAACTCTGAATCTTAATATTGGCATCTTTTTCTTTGTTGTGATAAAATTACATCATAAAATTTTACACCGATATCGACTTTGTGCTCGGTACCTGTGAGATATTGGATAATTTACACAGAATCTATTGAGCGCTTTTTAGGTACTATAGGAGATGAGTTTCCTTCGAGTTTCCGCTTCATTTTAACCAGCGTTTGTTTTGTACAATATGAAAGCAATTCGGTACAGAAATAGTCCTTTTTAGTGCCTTTGCTTCTGACTAACGACAGTACAAATTGCCTATAAATATTAAGTTCCTGCACAAACTAAAACAGACAGATAATAATTTTACTGCACAGAAGACTATCAGGAAATTGGCTCGCAAAAAATAAAAGTATAACGAGCATTTTAATAAAGCGATTGTACTCAACTGGGGCATGATCGGGAGTTCGTCGAGCATGTTTTTCTTTATTTTCTTTGGCTAGTTCATCCAATTGACGCCTCTATGCACTTACGGTCCCTTTGATTCGTTCTCTCGAAATAGCACCCGCACCTTTTACAGTTCAGTTTCGTATCAGTCTAGATTTTATTGTGCAAAAGAGTGAGTTCCCTGCGGGCGCTTCGTAACACGAAAAGCGATAGGTATTGGATTTATAGATGTAAATAGCGAAGTATTTCGCAGCATAGCCAGTGGAGCTAAAGTAGCTGAACGATAAATAGTTTCTGAAATGAATTTTCTTTTAATACCGTGCTGTTTACTACTGTTTAGTAAATTAAAATTCTTCAGCGTGCACTAGTGACCCCTTGCTTTCACAAAGTTTCTTTAAGGCCGATGCTAATAGTGCGATTCAACTGTTCCAAAATATCTTGAATAAAATAATACAATTAGATAGTATTGGATATTATATGCTAATTCTGACCAACAAAGCCGCATCTGACGTCATAGTTTCATTATTAATTTACATGATATTCAAAAATCTGTGTCAACATGATTAACTAGCACTGACCTATATGTGGCAAACACCCAAAAGTTTGTTTGATTAAAAAGTTAACGTTTAATTTCTTGCTAGCTAACTAAATCTGCGTTATATAATTTTATTACTACGCATATTTATTTACGTCATCGGTAAATACACCGCTTTCAGCCTTTTAACACATTATTGTTTTAAACGTGACTATTTTTCATTAATGTTTAATACTCTGATCAGGTCTGTTTGTTAAAAGCAGATGTGTTGTTGCCGAAACATTATTATTTATTAATGAACCACGGAACACGTAATTGGTTTACAATCCGATCGTGTACGAGTAGATTGGTACTATGTTAAGAGTAAAGTTTTTTTTCTGTGTATCTGTAAGTTCTGTTCTGTTCTGTTTTGCTTCGTCATTCGTGTAGCTGAAAGAAAAAAAAATTGTTAAAAGTTTTTAATCTGTCATAACTTCAATGAATGTCTTAAAATGAGTCTTCATATCATTATGCTACCTTTATCTTTATACTGACCAAGAAGTAGGTACTGGGGTAAATGGCTGTAGGTATATTGATTCTATTATGTGCAGGTAAAGCTCCCTCAATCCTCCTTTGATAAAGTGCCCATATATATTGCACTGATCTAATGTTATGACAGTACATTATCTCTGCCGTCTTGTAAAGCAGCTGTTCACGAGAAATGGCTCATTAAATTGAATTATAATAATATTGGAACCGTAGTTCAAAGTAATTATTATTAAAATTTACTTTTAATAAAATGATTAGGATACAGATTGTTTTTACGATGTACTTAATATTACGTGAAATTATTGTAAGAATAGTGTGACTTTTGAATTAAATGTGAAAATTATTTGTAGACATGGGATAGATATTTTGTCACTTTTAACAAAAGATTTTTGTAGGTATGTACAAACTACCAACGTAATCCTTCCCGTCTCAACATGCCCACGAAACTCAACACATTATTAATGAATACTGCACTCGTCGCCCGCAAATATAATTTATCTCGACAAACTTTCCAAAGTGTCAACCCTATTTCATTTAATGAATGGGATCAAGTTTGGGTGCCTTATCATTTGATATTATTAAATGTTTACTCCCCTCGTGTTTCAGCCGTTTTGTGTGAAGTTGGTACCGTATTCGAACAAGCGATTCAAAGTTTCAAGAGGTTCGGCTATTGATGTCTTTGGAAACCATATTTTGAGTGCACTTGTTTTCAAATTACTGACGTTATTAATGGCTGTTTTAATGAAATTAACAAAGAAGAGAATATTTTATACATTGCACAGACTCAATCGCTTCGAGCGATTAGAAACAAACAAAAAATGTTAAAGCCTGGTAGATATTTCTCGTGCGAATTGCACAGTTCCAGTTTTTCCTTAACCTAGTTCTTTCCAGAAAATTAATGGGGCGTGTTTGTAGGTTTTTGTGGGAATTGAAAGGCGGCCAACAAGCTTTCGGTACGCTGGCTTTGAATAAGGTAATCATCCAATTTTCAAACGAAAGTAATCATGTTATTCGTGAAAATGAAAGGATAGCACAATTTTGTTTTATCTGCCAGACGTTGTTCAATATTTGATTTATATTCCTAGATTTCCAATACACTTCTTTGTTGAAACGTATTACATAAAAGAGAATATGTCTACATGGAATCTTACTTTCTATTGTCACGGTTCAAAGTTTTTTCATATTGAGCTCGCGAAGAAGAAGTAAAAGGAGGGATGAGGATGAAACAATCCCAGTAGCATATGGATGTAACACGCTTCGAAAAATATGCCTTGAAGTGCGTCATGTGCGGGCTTCTCATGTCTCCGTTGCATTAAAGAAATGATCTGAGAATTGTACTCGGATCGCTGGAATTCTGAACTACTTTTATATTGTTTAAAATGCCAGTTTTACGGGTCGGAGAAGTGGTACAATTTGAGGATATATTTTTGCTTGTATTAAAAATTTTTTTATTGTTTCATTTATGGCTGAAATGGTGTAGAACGCGCCGCACGTATTCATTTGTAAAAAACGTGTTGTGCTTAAATAAAATGCTCGATGATATCCTATCCATACATATTTTAACCACACGACAGTATTTTGATGAGATTTGAGCTGAAATGTATATAAACATCAGGTTTGAAAATTTAATTAGTATTACGCGGTACTAAGAATTTCGGCATGAGAACCCAATTATTTTGACGGAGTATCAAACAGAGATCTTATAATTATAATTCACTTGTTTGATAAAATGTAACATATAAATAATTAAAAAGTAATTAAATTTATTTCTTCGCATCATCAGCCTATAAGTGCCTACCGAGCAAAGGCCTCTTCTCAGACTTAGATGACTTGAGCACTTGATGCCTGCTTAAAGTGGATTTGGTTATTTTAAAATTATAATTAGAAATTGTTAGTTCAGATTTTCTTACCACGTTTTCCTTCACTTTTTATCAGTACTGTCTAAATATACTTAGAAAATACCTATAGCTTAAACGTCGCATTGGTCAAGTTTGAAGCCACTCCTAATGTATGGGAAAGACCACCTAAAACTCCGGGCCACTAAGACCTCCTGCGGCCTACTACAAATATTGTTCACAATAAGTTATATATAATTAATAGATTACAAGGTAATATTACTGGTACTTACCTAAGCAACATATACTTAGGTGTCAAACACGGTACTAAAATCACCCTTTGGTAATCCAACTAGTATAATACAATAAATTACCAGCTTTGTAGCCGTTCGACTGCGCTACGTTGTCTATCAATCAAATATTGGATGCTTGATTCTATGTATTACCTTTAGAAATTGGTGAAAAATACCAATACTATGCGGGTTTTTCTTAATATTATTGTAAAGTTTAAATATGCATTTTCACACTAAATGAAACGTTTTACACAAATATAAAAACGCAACGCTTAATCTAATTTCTAAGATAGTAGATAAAAACATTGTAAAAAGTCAATTTTAAAATTATAAATAATAACTCGTTTAAAAAATTAAAAGTACTACCACGTAAGTTTTATTACCGACGTAAAACAAGAGTAATTTATCCTTGGAAGTTAATTTCAACTGTTTAATATTCAACCGACATTCTTCATACCCTAAATTAAGCATAGAACTCTCAACTTCCACGGGCATAAAATTTGAAAGTTTAAAAAAAGGACTGAGACTCCGCTTATTTTCATTTGAGATAGGGTGTTCTTTTTTCTGCGGAATTAGCGCTTAAGCTTCACTCTCGTCGACTCATTAATCAACCACTAACGACTTTAGATTACGGCCTCCGTACGGCTGAATGCTGACCTAAGCTCACACTGCGTTTGCCTTCGCCTCAAATGCACTTGGAGATTAGTTTGCCAGTTAGAATAGTGCAACTTGCATTGAAAGACCCTCTTTGTGATGCTGCAAATCGCCATTTCTTAGTTCTCACAAAAGGTACACTTGTAAAATACTAGTCGAGCTCTTTCCAGAAACATGTCAAGTACGGCTAGTTTGTGTAAGTGCATTGAAGTGATCTAGAGTGTTCCTACGTATTCAAGTGTTATTGAGTTTGTAGTATATATTCAAGTGATTTTGAAATATATCGTATCTTTCTAAGAACATATAAAGATAAAACATATTTGGTGAAATGAGAGAGTTTTGTAAGAACCAAAATTAAAGTTACAAAAACTGGGATCTCAAACTTGTAAACAACGTCATAAGTACGGGACAGCGTCAAAACTATACATATACTTATCATTTCAGTGAATGTTGTGTAATAGAACAAGAATAATACTCGTCGTACATATCAATAGATGTCCGCTTTGAGACTGAACTGACAGCTCAATAGAGGAAAGTTGCGACCGTAAACTATCTGAACCCTTTCAATAAATTTATTTTAATTCGACTTATATAACAGAAGCAATAGGAAACTGCCATCTCTCATTTAATTGTTTCCTAACAAACTAAAATCTAATTTTAATTGGATCACAGCCCAGTCATTGTTCCGAAGTAGATGAATTGAAACGCGATGGAATTTATATTCGATCCAACAGTTAAGCATTGTCTTCTTTAGGTATCCGTTACTGATTTGAAGGTTCAACGTTCGAGAGAACTTATTGGATTTTTGGGACTTCATTGGATTTTCTCGATTGACACATAAGATGACTGCCCTTCAAATTCTTCTCAAGATTGATCATTTGAGAATTCCTATCTTGAAAATCTTTTGACACTAAACCTAAACTGCGAACTCCTGATTATGTTAGGTATACTAGATTAGATCTGGTTTTGTTGTGATGTATATTGTTACTGTTTAGCGTGAAGCGGGTTAATATGGCACTTCCTAAGCGATGACCTCGTATCGACGTAAGTTGCTTAGCTCAGCTTTGTAATACGCTTGAACGCTCATCTGAAAAGAATCAGAACCAGCCCAGTATTTTATTTAGACGACATAAGGAACAGTAGTTGCTTTTATTAGTATAGAATATGGAACTACAGAAACACAGAAACTCTCTATTATTATGTATTAAAAATGATCTTGAATAATAAAAATGAATAACAACAATAAATACGTAGTCATAACTCTCTCTAGCGGCTGTAACTTGTCGACCGGTTTTCTGTAATAAAAGCGAAATAGCACGAAGTAGCACGGGTTATAGTCGGTCTTCAATAATACAGCGTCGTTAAATAAGAAGCTTTGTTCGCGAGACATGTCGGCAGTGGAAGCTAGATTCGACATGATAAATGTTGAGTACGAGACGCTATACAAAGGCAATTTCAATGGTCATACATCAGAATTTAAGAGTTTTAGCGACAACGACACCTCATTCTACGGTCTTGGTGATGATAGAGAAACTACGTTTTAAATGCAAAGGAAATTCGTTCAGCAAAGAACAATTTGCATGGGATCCTCGTTAAACGCAGGCACGCGGTAATGAAGTGACTAAAGCAGACTAGCGTTGTTCATACAGATAATAAATAGTAAATCATAACAGATAGGCGAAACTGAGCAAGTTCAGCGCTATAATTTAGGATAATAATCATAGTTCTGATACTTTTATTCGTACGTACGGAAATGGTTTTGGGAAAGAACGTAAAACTGTCAGAAACTTTTATAACAAAGCTAATGCTAGCTGAGATACCATCAGGTATATTTGTTAGACAAATGAACGAATTGGAATCTTTTAACTGGATAAGTCTCGCGATGTCATCTTTTATTTAGTTTGGGTTTGGAAGTATTTTATTGTGCTTTTTATTAGTATCTTGAATGTTTCGATAAATGTAGATCAAATAACAAAAAGAAGTGATTTTTGAGACGAATACTCAAACATTTACTTACGTTTGCTCTTCAAATTTTCTATGTTATGTCGTCGGTTCAACAGACCAGAACTAATCTGCATATTCCCCAATTTCTTTTGACAATTTTCTGCGCTCGAACGATTGTGATATCTCGCACTCGCATCTCTCATAGTGAATTCATTATTTTACGAAAAAGGATTTCTTGTAATCAGAAAATAACATAACCAAGGAAATGCTTACCGAATTTTCCAGCAAAAGAAAAAAATAACCAAAGCCTTTCTTTATTGGAGCATGTATGCAACAGAATGTAAAACTGATTGTGAACATGCATGTATGTGGCATGTAATTATACCCAGAATTATGTAACCAAGGAACAAGGAAGAAGCCTTGGTATTAATATGTGGGAGCATTGTTCCTCTACGAGACAGTAACTAGATTCACCATGATAAATGTACTGCACGAGATACGCGCCGACCACTAACAAGATTAACGTTGATTAACCGAACAATATGAACTAGGTCGAGGGGAAAATTCAATTTTTAAAGTTGCCACCTATACGGGGGCTAATGGAGGGATGGTTGAATTAGATAGTGCGACTGCAACTTTACTGTATAAGTTTAGGACTACTTTGACTCGTAAAGGTTATGGGAGATGTAGTTAGCTATTTAAATAGTAAGGTTTTGCTCAGCGTTTATTTAACTTTTAGATGAATTCACTGGGTTACTACACATTTACAGGTACTACGTATTAAATGTATCTCTATATATTATACAATTATATATCAATACGGATTGTATTATTAGAGTAATTTCTGGAAAAATATATTAGGGTCATGATTGGACATAATTGAAGAGCGCCCGGAGGATACGATTGCGGTGTGCTCTCTCGCTCCTGGCTTTGGTTCACGCTATGGTACTGAACGAAAGGAACTGAAAAGCTGTCTTCTCCTCGAGGAGGCCGGGAGTGCGTGTTAGGGAACGATCCTCTTTACGCCCCAGCCGCTGCGGTTCAGGTTTGATGTGGACTAATACGGCTGATGCCCGGCCATTATATTTTATTTTCAAAAATGATTGTAAAAATGAAAATTGGTATGGTGACACCAGTTAAGTCAAAAATTCCTGAAGAATCTCCAGGATTTTTTTGAGAAATACCTTTCTTTAACCGAGACTACTACATACTACCACTATATCAATTGATTGAGGTTTAAAATAAAATTGTTGTCCTGTTCAAGGTAATAGTCGATTGTTATGCACTATATGATCACGAAAAATATTTCTCTTCGCAATTTAAAATTTACGTGCTTTTGTCTTCGTGTTGCCAATATTCCAAAACAAGTCTCAGTTCATAAATATACTTACATGTTTATTTCGATAAACTGAACAAATTCTATAAATCTGCACTGAAATAGTCACGTGTTGTCAGCAAAAATGCTTGTGCCAATAATCCTGGACGCAAAAGTTCCGTCGGTTAATCGGATTTATTAGTTCGTTTCGATGTGGGAGATGCTTCAGCACAATTGAGTAGGTTCGCCTGATACCACG